CATCCATCACCAAATATTGCCTAATCCTCACCCATCCATCACCAAATATTCCCACGAATGATTGTCATATTGCATTGCTATCTTTGAACCCCGGATTTCAAATGGGCCATTTTGAGCATTAATCGATACGTAGCTACTAAATGTTACTTGATTACAATGAAACACTACTCGATTCAAATTCTGGGAAATTTATTTAGAACTACTTGATTGAAGATTTACAAGAACGACGATAGATTAATTCATGACAATATATGTACCGTATCTTCCCCGCTTTGCATCAGTAGACTTCCGAATGATATTCAAGTTCATCGGACGCCGTCATGAAAAATTTGATGGGATCTATGTTCAAGACTTCTAAGAATGGATTGATGATTTGAATCCATTGCTTTGAATCCATTGCTTTGGGTTAATATCAACAATGGATAATATACTGAAGCAACGGTACAAACCAGCCTACCATGGTCGGCAAGATCAATTTCTGATCTGTGCTAAGGCTGTTGAATTCATCTAATGAGAGTTTAGTTGTCAATGTAGATCTTCTTCCAAACTCTACCACGAATGCTCAGTTTCTACGTTGCCAAGGGGGATGTTTACTAAGGATTGTAATGGTACTGAACTAGATTTGATGAGTACTATTCAATGTGCTAGAAAAGGAACATGCAGAATCTATACTCTTATAAAATAGGCAAATAAAGGGGGATGGGAGATCTCAATTCTTTCTAAATCTCGTTCGTTTGAGGTACAATCCAAGTTTCTACTGAATTTTTGAGAATTGCAATCATTATTTGTACAAAGGAAGGCACAAAGTAAAGCTTTATTTATTCATCTAGCCTTCTGTAAGACACCAATTAATAGCAGTATAATAAAAGTTAGTCGGGAAAATAGAAGTTATGGAGCGATGTTCAATTAAATAATATACAGTGCACCTTCTGGGGGGAAATATCTCTAAGAAAGACTGAATATATTTGGCAGGTTTTCATTTTGAGACGAATATAAACATTTATAAATATCATTACATGAAACCTGGCTAGATTCGGTCCCTGACTTGGGTCAGAGAAACAAGATTCGAAAGCAAATCATAATGTTGATATCAAAAATCTACATATTCTATTTCTATTCTTACTTACTAATGAAAGTCTAATTTTCTCCTCCAACCCCGGCAACGAATGTCAAAGACCAAGTTCTTGACATTCCATTATCAATAAGTGCAGGATTCCAGTCGTTTCTCGAAAACCATTTCCAGGAAGACTTGGGATCGAATAAGGCTCTATTAAGCATCAAAATTCCTTTCCAACCATCTGGAATTCTATCAATTATCTGGTTCAACTTCTGATCCCACTCTTCTTTGACAAATTTGGGATGTCTAATAAAAGATGATATTGGTGTAATTGGCAACATATGAATTCCATGAATCCATTCATCTCCAATAGTTCCTCTGCCAAAGTAAGTTGCAAAATCGATCTTATTTTCAAAAGAAATCCCAGCGACTTTATTCCCAATAAAGTTGCGAGGTTGAATTAAATTATCATCACAATATAACATGTACATGTTCATGGATCGCTTCATTATTGCGATCATCAAATTAGCCCTTCGTTCCATGTACGTATCACCAATAACGTTAGCGTATAACTTCATCCCATATGCGAAGTTATAATCTTCAGATGATGACTCCTCGTCTTTACCATCTCCTGAAGGAAAGATTCCATGTGCAAATGAATGACCATGGAACCAATCGAAGGATCTGAATTGGGGGAAATAAGCATCTAATTCTGGATTCGCTGTATCTCGTAAAAGTGTGTTTGCATAATTGAAAACAAGGTTATTATTAGAAAAAAGCCATTCTCTATCAATGTGACTGATCAAAGCAATGGCATGAATATGATAACCATAATGAAAATGGTGATCATTATAATTAGAATTCCCAAAATCTGCCCCAGGATCAGCTGAAGAAATTAAACCTTTCCATGTTGTATCATATACTAATGGGAATTTCTGCTGATTATTAGCAAATATTTCAATAGCTTGTTTCACTTTTGGTAATATCTGGTCCGTTAGTTGTTTATTTTGTAATACAAAATGGCAAACATATGCTATGTAAGCATATTTGGCTAAAATTTTTCCCGATGTATACATAGAATCGATATTGGCCATTCCAACTACGTCATCTCTAACTTCATTTGTAGCTGCTTCTGCAATCAATTTCTTTGCATCACTGGAATATTTTGCCTGGGTGCAAAAACTTGTCCATGGCTCCCACAATATTTTATTTGGTAGATCCTCTTCCATCTCTAGTTCGTTGGTTTTATATGCCTTCATTATTCCTTTTGTTGGAGAATCTAAAGTTAGACCAGTAAATGCTTCATTGAGAGAATCAACTAGTGATTCTTGATGATGAGGGAGACACCATACAAGACCTTTTCTGGATTTGGATTCTCCTTTCATGTTATAGATGAATTTATAACGGGCAACATCATCTTTTGCTGCAGCTGCTAGGTCGGCACTTTCCTGATAAATACCAGCTGTGTCATCATAATGGTTCGATAATCCTCTTGCAATTTGAATTATTGCATTTCCCACTCTATCTCCAACTATTATATTGGGATTTTTTAATTCCAATTCAATGTTACCAGTAACATATATGGACCAAGTTACTTGGTTGTATAGTATTGCTGAATACTTTGTCGCATTCCCAACTTTATTTAATCTCTTCCACTCTTGAATTCCAACTGAAGACCCAATTACAGGTTTCATATTTTCATAAATAGATGTTATAAATCCCATTCCTTGAACTAAAGGTAATTTCATTTTCCCATCACTTGTTTTATTTGTAATTTCAGCAGTAATGGAGAGTTTCTTATGATCAGACAAAGTTAGCTTTATATTTTCTCGATTGATATTCTCTCCAGATAGAACAAAAGACTTGATCCTTGGAGGGTTGAAATAATATTGTGCTGTTTTAGCATTGGGATCAGGTCCAAAGACTCTTTGTGAAGCATCTGTATGATTGAAAGCAATTCCTGCAAGTTGACCAGGATCAATTGTAAGCCAGAGTGAGTATGGTAAAGTCCAAATTGGAAATGTTTGGTCTCCCAATGCTAAATTGTTGGAAAAGTTGTTAGTTTGAATCGGCTGGCTATTTTCTCCATGTGAACATCCATTTGGTTTTTGGTGGTGTTGGATTCTGGGGAATATAGAAGGTGGTTCTCCTTTCGAAATGGGATGAGAAAAAATGTCTTCAAAATCGGACATCTTAGTAGAGGGTATCTCTTGGTTGGAATTGCCCAATTGCAAATTTCTGAATACTTTCTTCAACGTTTTCAATGTCATTAAATTTGGTGAAGATGAGATTGTCTGCTGCAACCACAAACGAACGAGAGAACTGAAATTTTCGTCGCAGAATTACTCCTGACGAATACAAATAAAATATTTGTAACTCCCATTGAGACTCCCATTGAAAAAAAAAAGAGTCTGGATGACAGTCCGTCGAAGTCATACCTCGTATTCTCTTTGTTGCAATATCCTTTATCACTGAAGACCCGTGGCTGTTGTTTTCATTGGGAATCATGTTCTTGAATGAAAGTGTAGCGGTTGCCTGATTAGGATAAAATTCCGTTCCCTGAGGAAATTCCGCGTTTACAAAAACTATAAATCCTCTTTTGATTTCTATCTTTCTTTCTAAAATGATTAACATAGAACCCAAAGATGCAATTTCTTAAATCGTTAGTGTTAGCTACTACTATGGTATTGACAAGTGCCAATGAAACAAGTGATCCCAAGTTAGTCGAAATATGGGGTGATCTTTGGCCATTCCAAGGAATCAATACATTTGCTCATTTAGATCATTTTTCCTGTTTAGTTGATAAGACGATTCCCTTTGATGTTGGTATCATTGGTGTTCCATTTGACACTGCAGTGTCATATAGACCTGGTGCTAGATTTGGCCCTCGAGCAATTAGAGCTGCTTCCCAGCGTCAAACTAGTTTACGTGGATTTAATCCTCGAGCAATGTTCAATCCATATGATTCTTGGGCCAAAGTTGTTGATTGTGGTGATTTGCCAGTTACTCCAATGGATAATTCTCTTGCATTTAGACAAATGAATGCTGGGTTTGAAGAATTACTTTTAAGGAGACAATCTACTAGTGAAAATAAGGTCCCTCCAAGATTTGTTTTATTGGGTGGAGATCATTCTATTTTACTCCCACATATCCGAGCATTAAATAAAGTATATGGTCCAGTCAATATAATTCATTTTGATGCTCATTTGGATACTTGGAGTCCAGATAAATATCCTTCGTATTGGCATTCTGAACAAAGTGAATTGAATCATGGTTCCATGTTATGGAAAGCTCATGAAGAAGGATTAACTACAAAGACAAACATTCATGCTGGTATTCGTACCAAACTTTCCGGATTAATTGATTTGGAAGATGATGATTCTCAAGATTTTATTCGTATTGAAGCTGATGACATTTGGTTGAAGGGTCCTGAATATGTGATCAAGAAAATCTTGGATGTTGTACCTAAAGATACGCCAAGTTATATCTCGGTTGATATTGATGTGTTAGATCCAGGATTTGCTAGTGGAACTGGTACCCAAGAACCAGGGGGGTGGTTACCTCGTGAGTTAATTCATATTTTAAGAGGAATTGAAGAGTTAACAATTGTTGGTGCTGATATTGTAGAAGTAGCTCCGGCATATGATTATGCGGAAGTTACTGCAACAAATGGGGCACAGGTTGCCTACGAAATACTCACGAGTATGGTAAAGAAAGGAGCTATTGATCCTAGTGTAGTTAAGATAATTCATACATTTGAACAGTAAATATTTTTTATATGAAAATGTTTAATAGAACACAATATCCTTCTTTATTTTTATTTATCTAAAACAAATGAAATGTTTAATAAAACAGAATATCCTTCTTTATTTTTATTTATCTAAAACAAATGAAATGTAAAATATATATACTTTAATGATAAGCCATTTAATTCTATTACTAATAAACCGGCAATTACCTAAATATAAAATTGAAAATTAAAAGAACCAAATTAATACGAATATGTGAAAAATATGATAATGATTGAAAACTTATTACTTAAATAAGTAAAGCAATACCGGCAGCAAGAACACCGGCGGCACCCATGTTGTAACTGTTGATCATACCTCCGGCATGACTGGTTGTGGTGTTGGTAGTTCCATTAGTAACGTTGGTTTCTCTTCTATGAAGTTCAACTGCATCGGTTGGTTGAACGAAAACTGTGGTAGTTAATGGTGGTTTGGTGTGGTCGAATCTACCCCATTGACGAGTTTCAGTAGTTTCAGATCTTGGGGTATGGTCGAATCTTCCCCATTGACGAGTTTCAGTAGTTTGTGGTCTTGGGGTGTGGTCGAATCTTCCCCATTGACGAGTTTCAGTGGTTTCAGATCTTGGAGTGTGGTCGAATCTACCCCATTGACGAGTTTCAGTAGTTTCGGATCTTGGAGTGTGATCAAATCTACCCCATTGACGAGTTTCAGTGGTTTGAGGTCTTGGAGTGTGGTTGAATTTTCCCCATACGTGGGTTTGGGTAGTACCAGTAACAGTAACAGTGACGACTTCTCTGGTTTCTTCTTCAGCAGCAGAGGCTAAAGCAACAGTGGAAGCTAATCCAATAGCAACAGTTGATAACTTCATATTTTTTGTGTGTGTATCGTATTGGGTTGTTTTACAGAAAAAGAACAGATTCAAAAAAAAAAAATGATGAGTGAATTGGTTCTTTTTTATTTTTCATTTTAGTTGGGAACTATTCCATAGCTTGCGGTATTTAAAATGAAAAAAAAAAAAAATTAAGATGAATTAACATCCAAACTTCAATAATAAATTGGGACATTTCTTTTTTTTTAAAGCCGCCATCATTATTTTAACATACAAGAATGTAAACACACACACACATCTCTATCATGTCATTTAGTCACGTTTTTTTCATTTCGGAGATGCTCCTTTGAAATATTTGGAATATCTCATCGAAACTATCTGGTGTCTGTATTTATTAGAAGCTGTTTAACTTAATCATCCACTTAAATGCCTTTCCCCAAATAAATGTGACACTAACTCCATGTGGGATTTTTGTCTATTGTGTGGGAGTGAGTGGTGAAACGGATTGATTGTACCAATTCGGAAAGATGTTAAGCGTTTTTTTTTCTTGTTTACTTTATTTTTCATTTTAGTTTTGTGTCGCTATTCATTCCCAAAATGTATTATCGGTTACTTCGGCCAGAAATTATATTTTGTTCGATATTGCACGACCCTGTAAAGTTTATGTCAGGCAACTCGGCAGCATGAATGATGCTGTATGGACCTTGGGTTAATGAAAGGAACTGGTTGAGGCTGTTCTAGAAGCCATAAACAAAAGAAAAAGCATGCCCTGACTATAGATAAGAAAGGTGCTTTCTTTGGTTGAATTGTGATTTTTCGTAGCCATTAGCAACCTGATCCCTTCTTTTTTGCAACACCACCTTAGATCACCAGTGGTACATGGAGGATATTTGACAGGGAACTGATACAAAGGGGAATGGAATTAAGATCATATCTGAGTTTCCAATCCCGCGTTGTATAGAATATGTGATCACCAACATGAAGGTCACTGTCTTCTTCAATTTTGTGATTGTGGCTTTCAAATAACCAGCAGTTATTTATTGTTTGTCTCTTTTTGATATTAAAGTAATCCTTGAACCTTTGAGACTGGTCACCTTGTTGGATCTTTTCTAGTCTGGTGTCCTCGTTATCCTGTCTTTTTCTGTGTTGAAAATGGTTTGTATGTTAAACAACGTTTTAACCTTTTAATGTGAAAGTTTTGCAAAATTGTTGCAAAAGTTTTCACAAAGAATAGTGAGTAACTAATAATGAAATACTAAACCTCAATATCAATCAATCAGTCAATCGAATTGAAAGCGCAAAAGCTAGATAGTTTTAAGCAAGTATTAATGGATACCTTTCTATTGTTAACAATGTAAAGCACTTGACTTCTAATAAAGACGAACCTTCTAACTCGCTTTTTTTTTGCAGCAACTGTTTTTTTTCTTCTATCTATTAGGAAAACTATATAATTAGAGATAACTATACAGAAGAACCTTCTCTTATTGAGTTACCCCAAAAGAGTGCAAATTGTTCAAAAATAGCAACTTGGAGTAACGCTATAATAAGCTATTATCTATTAAACTTACAATCAAATCCTTATAAAAAATGTCATGTTCGTGAATATGTATTAAAAGATGTGTATAAAATGGGAAGAAAGATATAAACTAAAAAATGCAGAGAATCCGAGAATAAAATTCAATAAAAACAGATAATAACAGAGAAATGCCAGAGGAAATATAAAGGGGGAAAATTTGGAGGGACTGTAGTAAATGGAACTTGAAATCCTTTATAAATATAGAATAAACACAAAAAGCAGAATCAAAAAATCAAAACATTTGGTTTGCTCCTTTCTTTCTTTAAAATTGGAAGTTTTGTTGTTGAGATTGATCAAGACCGAAACCAAATGAATTTCCATAAGCTTGAGGTGCAACCCCTTCATCATCAATTTGATCATCTTCTTCTGAAAAGTAAGTTTCAATAATCTTATAAGCTTTTTCATAAATCTTTTCATTTGGATTACTTTGACATTCAAAGATTTTTTCCATACCATTAGCTTCTTCAATAAATAAAGCATTTTCATTTACACTAAGACCACGAGCTTCTTTATCCATTTCACCCATTTTCAAAATATTTTCCAAAGAATCTAAAGTAACTTCAATAATTTTAGAATCTGCAACAGCTAATAAATCACATAAAGGTTTTATACAACCTTGACTAACTAAATAACGAATTTGATCAGGTTTGGTTAATCCACCAGATGATGCATTAGAAATTGCCCAACATGCTTCTTTTTTAGTTTTATAATCACCACTAATCAATAATCTAATAACTTGAGGGATTAAATTGGCATCAATAACTGCTTGAATTTGATCGGTAGTACCAGCAGTAATATTAGAAATAGTCCAACAAGCTTCTTTTCTGATTGTTTCTTTTGGTGAATTTAATAATGGACCTAACGCATTTAATACCCCAGCATTAATAACAATTTGAGTTTGTAAGTCACTACCAGTAACAATATTACCAATTGCTCTTAAGGCAGGGGTTTGTACTAAGGTAGATTCATGAGCTAATAATTCAACAAGACGATGAGGAATACGAGCATCAATGACTGCTTGGATAGCTTCAGAGGTACCATCAGATAAATAAGATACTGCCCAACAAGCATCAACTAAAGTTTCTGAATCAACTGAATAAATTAATTTAGCTAAAGTTGGAATAGCTTGTGAAACGATATCCCAATTTGGTGGAGGTGATTTACCTCTACATAAATTAGATAATGTCCAAGTTGCAGTTCTAATCAAAGACATTTTAGTTGAATTGAATAAATTTAATACTGGTTCCATTGCATTACAACCTAAAACATAATCTCTAGAATCAGAAGAATCACCAGCAACATTACCAAGAGCCCAAATTGCTTGTTCTTTAACTTCAAGGGATTGAGAATATAATAATTGAACAAATAAAGGAACGGCATTTGCTTCTATCACTACTCTAGTTTGAATTGAATTACCAGATGCAATATTAGTTAAAGCCCAAGCTGCTTCTAATTGTAACATATCTGGATGATCATCTTTCATAAATTCAACCAATGTTGGAATAACACCAGATTCAATTACTAAATCAATTGGAGGATTATGTTCACGAGATAAGATTTGACGGAATTTAACAGTAGCACCTAATTGACTATCAAAATCAGGTGCTTGAATCATTTCAATCATTTTTGGTAATTCTTGTTTTAATTTATTATAAAATTGACTATCATCATTATTAATTTGCATTGGATATTGATCTTCATCTTCAGATTCATTACCTCCATCATTTTGATAGTTTCTTCTTTTAGCTAATACTTCTTCTCTTTTTTGTTTTCTCAAGTCAACTTGATGAGTTTCTCTTCTTCTTCTTAATTCATCACTTTGAAAACGACCTCTATTTTTGAAAGTAGTACGACGATATTCAGGTACAAATCTATTAGTGGCATCAGCATCCATTGTAACTTCTCAGGTAGCTTATATATAAATAAATAGAAAATGAAGTGAATGTGATTGAAGATGATGTTATTAAAAAAAAAAAGATGTTAAGTTAACGAGAATTAAAAAAAAAAATCATTTGAATGTGGTGGAAGTAGTTTTATTTTATTTTTAGTGCTAAAATTTTTTTTTTTGCTCTTAACTATGTACTGTATAAAAATCTTAGGGCAGGGCAGTTACTGGAAATCTCTTCTCGTAGTTGCTCATTCACTCTCACTGTATTGACTTTTTTTTTTCAGTGTAAATATCTAACTCTATGTCCATCTATCTTTCATCTATAAGTTGAACAGTACACGTAACCCAGAAATATGTTAATAACGAGATATGGATTAAGATTGAATAATAAGACATTTATTCGTCCATTTTCAATTACATCTATTATTAAATCTCATAAAGGATCATTTAGAACTAGTGAAGATCAAATAGATACTAATGATATTACTACTGATAATAATCCTTATTCTCCAACATTATATGATGATAAAGTATTTGTATTAAAACCCAATAACTTCTTTAAGACTCAATTACCTGATAATTATCGATTATCTTATCTGCCATTATATGAATCACCTGGTGCAAAATATATATCATTATTAAAAAGATTAACAATATCATTTGGAGTATTAGGAATTTATGGAGCTAAACTATTCTTTCAATCAGATTCATTTGATGATTTATATGGTTATATTGTAATGGCTACAACTTCATTACCTGCAATTCTTGTTCAATATAAAACAAGAGATTATGTTACAAGAATTTTTAGATTATATGATAAGAATAAACCTCAAACTTTAGAAAATTTAGTTAATAATGAACAATTAATCATGGAGAAATTAAATATACTTGGTGGTACTACTTTTAATGAATTATTAACCATTTCGAATAATAAAAGTTTGAAATTATCTCCATCTAAGTATAGATTATTAAAACCTTATTCAACTTGGGAAGAAATTGATCCTGAAACTAAAAGAAAGAGGAAATATTTCGTGGTTGATAATATCGGAGGTATAAAAATGGATAGAGTTTGGGGTATAATAGAAAAGAATAGTGGAATTAATAATGGTAGATCTGATTATTAGATACATTCATATGGGTTTACTTTGGCGGCGACTATTTGTCGCATATTGCTGATGAAAAACGACAATTCACGAGAAATACGACAAATCGACCCCATCCAACGGCATTTTTTTCTTTCTGCTAAGAAAAAAAAAGAAATTTTCAATCGCTAAAATGTTACCTTCGGAATAATTTTGAAGTACAAAAAAATAACCCACTAACGCCTCTTGTACATATACGAACAGAATTTCATAATTAGTAACCTTATTCAACGTAAAACTTTAAAAGCAAATAACTAATCATTACCCCTTTCTTTCTTTTCTATAAGAACAGTACCATCCAGATTAATCATGACCGAGGTAGCAACTACACCTGATATTGTGATAAAAGAACCAACCCCAACCGATATCGACGACTCATTGGAAGAACAAGCACCATTAGAGAAAACCTTATCGATGTTAGATGTTGAAGATGAAACTGATCAAAATACAAAATTAAACGCATTATTATATCATACAAGCGAAGATTCAGTTGAATTATATAAATTACAAAATAATTCATCTGATTTATTAGGTAGGCTTTATTATGATGATTATGATTCCGAGTCCATTATTTCCCCACTATCATCGGGACAAGTTACTCCACTATCACCAGTTCCATCAGGTACGATGCCTTTGTCAATACCGAGTTTAGATTTGGTATATATTACTAATGCAGCTGCATCATCAAGATCATCATCACAAACTAGATTACCAAGTCAACAATCCCGACCTGGATTACCTCGATTACAATCATTTGAACGAGGAATATCGTTTGATATTCCTGATGTTAAATCAAAAAAATCATTAATTGTTAAAGTAAAACATCCACAATTCAAATTTAGAAGAAATAATAAAACATTTTTAGTAGGATTTAATGATGATTTTGAATCTTCAAAAGCTATTGAATGGTTATTTGATGAAATGGTTATTCATGGAGATACTGTTGTTATATTTCAAGTTTTAAATGAAAAATATCATCAAGAAATTGATAAAGTAAAAGCTAACTTAAATTTAGAAAATTTTGAACAATTAAATTGTCATAATAAGAAAGTTTCTATAATATTTGAAACTGTAATTGGTAAAGCTCAAAAGAAATTGAAAAAGGCAATTGATGAATATTCACCTTCTGTAATGATTATTGGTACTCATGAAGGTAATAAGGATCATCATCATCGTACAATATTAAAATCTTCATTATCAAAACATTTCTTAGAATGTGCATTAGTTCCAGTTATTGTTGTTAAACCTTCTTATACTTATATTGAAGAATTAAAAGCACCAATTGATTCAGAATTATATTTTCAAAATTGGATGAAGAATATTAGCGAACAATGTTATAATCATTTATCAGAACAACAACATCATCATCGTAAAGGAATAAGTCGAATTTTAAGTCCTTCACCTTCAAGATCATCTTCATATAAAGATTTAGTAAGTGAAGAAAGAGGTAGAAAACAACATGATACGCCTTCTTCTTCGTTGGCAATACGATCACCATCACGTGAAGGTAGATCAAGATCAACTTCAAAATCAAGAGGATTTGCCAGTTTTTTTATGGGACATTAAAGAAAACAATAGGATTTAATATTAGCCTAATCTGGAGTTGCACTGGGGAAAAAAAAGACCACCTACCCCTTCCCCCCTTTAAGTAATTATAATTTTTTTTCACTTGCTTTCATCTTCTTTTACTTCATTTACTTCTTGTTTATATATTTTAATTATGAATTGACTTTATAGAGTATTAATATTAAAATAAACGAAAATGACAATTGTAAAAGTATCTAGAAGAAAACATCAACATAAAAGAAGACAAGTTGGTAATCCAATTATTGCCATTATAGATTTAATATCATTATTAATTGGAAGTTATGGAATTTATATGAATATAATGAAAACTCAATTACCTGAATATTTTGCTAATGCAGGACATTGGCAATTCTTAACTAATTTAGCATTAGTGTATTCATTAATTGTGTTTTTATTAGGTTTCATTGCTCATTTGATTAAATCAAATTGGTTATTTGAATTAAAGAATAATTTTCATCCAATTGGTTTAGCCCTTGAAACAATTGTTACAATTATATATTGGCCATTAAGACTTTTCTTTTTACCTTTGTTAGCTCATGATCCTGATGTATTTCATTTACCATTGCTGACAGATTTATCTATTCATTTAATGCCGGTTATATCTTTATTAATTGATTATTTAATATTTATGCCTCGATGGAAAATTAAGAATCATACTGCCGCTATTCTTGTTGTTAATTTAACAGTTATGTATTGGTATTTATTAGAATATTTGGTTGATATTGAAAATGGTGCTAAATATCCTTATGCATTTATGGATGTTGATAGTGTTTATCATAGAATGATTATCTTTAGTGTTATTGCTTTGATAGCATTCTTACAATTCTTATTCTTAAGAAAAGTTTATGATTGGATAGTGGAAACAACTGAAGAAATTGACTCAGCGATTGATCGAAAATTCCCCGAGAAAGATGATTAGATAAGTGTTTATATCTTGTTAGCGCTACGTAAACTTTGTAATGCAGCATTATTGATTAATCTAAATCTCAGACTTCCAATTGGATTACCACCATACCATCTTGTAACTATAACTAACCTGTTAATTACATTATGTTTAATTAATACATCTTCAAGTAATTTTATTCCTGCTCCTTTCTCTCCATTATCTCGATATCCTTGGTTTATATTTATAACAGTTCCATCATTCAAGTATTCACCAGTACGCCAGGCTATTATATGAGGATGACTGGCATTTTTAGAAATTGATTTATATTGTAATAAGAATTGAGTTAAAATATTATCAATTTGTGATGAATCAATTAATTCAACATTTCTTGCTTGAAATTTTGATTTTTTATTGATTAAAATATCTGACGAATACCAGTTGGTTATGTTAGTACGATTAGATGTGGATAGATATCTGGTAGGGTGTACTCTAGGAATCAATCGTAGCATAATAGTTAAGTTATTCTCATGTAAATAAATTCCGGTATATAAAACACACTGAAAATTTTATATTGTATTTTGTTAATTGGTTCTCTAAGCAACAGAAAAAAAATTTTCAGATTGATTAATAAAATCATCAATAGACAGATATAGACTGAGAGACAGAGATATTGGAAGGAATATATATATATAACAGGGAATATATAAAATGATTTACTTAAAGACTTTATTAAATGTTATTGATAATTCAGGTGCACAAGTAGTGGAATGTATCAAAGTATTAGGTCATAGACCAAGAGGATTTGCCCAAATTGGTGATCATATTACAGTAGTTGTTAAACAAGCTAAATCAGCTACGTCAGAAGCACAATCTACCAATAGAGTGAAGAGAAGTGATATATGTCGTGCAGTTGTTGTTAGAACCAGAGCTCCATTAAGAAGACCCGATGGTTCTGTTGTTAGATTTGATGATAATGCATGTGTTTTAATAAATAAAAATGGTGATCCATTAGGTACAAGAATTTCATCAGTAGTAGCAAAAGAATTAAGAGATTTACAATATAATAAAATTGTATCACTTGCTCCAAAGACATTCTAGAGTACTGTTAACATATATATATTACCCTTGTACATACTAATACTAATATCATTATAAGTTGTTAAATGAATTAATTGTATTTTTCAATTGAAGTGAATACTCTTTGTTAATTGAAGGAATATCTTGTTGTAAATCAATTGTTGAATTAATAATTTCATTAAAATAATTAGAAAGTTGTGGCAATCGTATATTATTCTTTAAATCTTCTTTAACATCTATTAGATTGTTATTAATACTACTCACCCCTTTAAATTCATTTAATAAATAAGAAAGCTTCTCCTGTATTTCATTGAATGTATCTTCTTTTTCAACTGTCGATATCTGCCTATTTAATAAATCATGTAAATGCTGTGAATTCTTATTAATTAAATAATTGGTATCATTAATTAATTGTTGTATTTCCTGTAATTGTAGTTCAATTGTTGATGTTTGTTGATTATTACCTTCTCCCATACTTCTTCTATTGTTAAACATATTTATTGTTTGTTTAAATGCCATAGAAATGGGCTTTCCTTTTGACTCTGTCTAGCTTTGTCTCTCTGTGTCTCTCCTCATTTCACCCACGCGCTATTTTTTTGTTACCAAACTGACTCATAGAATTCTGTTGTAAATTTTTCAATTGAAATTTTTTTTCTTCATTCATTTTTACTTCTTACAACCCATCACTTTACCCAACTTGTCCAAAATGTCTGAACAAATTGCAGATAAAGTTGAACAGTTATCCTTACAAAAGGATGCTGCTGCTGCACCAGATGCCGCCGCTGCCAAGCAACAACAACCAAAACAAAAACAAAATAAAAAGGATAAGAAAGCTGCTGCTCCATCTAAAAATCCTTTATTTTTAGACCCTCAACCAACCTTTATTGATGATCGTGTAAAATTATTCGAAGAATTAAAAGCAAAATACGATGAAGAAATTGCCAAAAAGGAAAGAAAGCCAATTAAAATCACTTTGAAAGATGGTTCAATCAAAGAAGGTATTGCTTATGAAACTTCTCCAATGGATATTGCCACTTCAATTGGTAAATCATTTGCTGAAAGACAAGTTATTTCTAAAGTCAATGGTCAATTATGGGATTTACCAAGAGCTTTAGAAGATGATGTTCAATTAGAATTCTTAGATTTTGAACATCCAGAAGGTAAAGCTGTTTTCTGGCATTCATCAGCTCATATTTTAGGTGAAGCCTGTGAATGTCATTATGGTTGTCATTTATCTCATGGTCCACCAACTGAAGATGGTTTCTTCTATGATATGTCCATTAATGATGGGGAAACTGCTGTTTCTCAAGCTGATTTCTCTAATTTAGAACAAGTTGCTACTAAAGCAATTAAAGAAAAACAAAAGTTTGAAAGATTAGAAATGACCAAAGAAGATTTGTTAAAAATGTTCAATTATAATAAATATAAAGTTAAATTCATTAGTGACAAGATTCCAGATGGTACCTCTACCACTGTTTACAGATGTGGTCCATTAATTGATTTATGTGTGGGTCCACATATCCCTCATTCAGGTAGAATTAAAGCTTTCAAAGTTTTAAAGAATTCTTCATCTTATTTCTTGGGTGATGCTACTAATGATTCTTTACAAAGAGTTTATGGTATTTCTTTCCCTGATAAAAAACTTATGACTGAACATTTGAAATTCTTAGCTGAAGCTGCTGAAAGAGATCATAGAAAAATTGGTAGAGAACAAGAATTATTCATCTTTAATGAAATGTCTCCAGGTTCTGCTATGTGGTTACCTCATGGTGCTAGAATCTACAATACTTTAGTTGATACTTTAAGAACTGAATATCGTTTGAGAGGTTATGAAGAAGTCATTACTCCAAATATGTATTCTACTAAATTATGGGAAACTTCTGGTCATTGGCAAAATTATAAAGAAAATATGTTTGCTTTTGAAGTTGAAAAGGAAACTTTTGGTTTAAAACCAATGAATTGTCCTGGTCATTGTATTCTTTTCAAATCTCGTGAAAGATCTTATCGTGAACTTCCTTGGCGTGTTGCTGATTTTGGTGTGATTCATAGAAATGAATTCTCAGGAGCCCTTTCTGGTTTAACTAGAGTTCGTCGTTTCCAACAAGATGATGCTCATATCTTTTGTACTTCTGATCAAATTGGTACTGAAATTGCTGGTGTTTTTGATTTCTTAAAGAAAGTTTATGGAATTTTTGGATTTGATTTTAAAATGGAATTATCTACCAGACCAGAAAAATTCGTAGGTGATATTGAAACTTGGAATTCTGCTGAAGCTAAATTAGAAGGTGCTTTGAATGAATTCTTGGGTAAAGGTAAATGGGAATTAAACCCAGGAGATGGTGCTTTCTATGGACCAAAGATTGATATTATGATTAGTGATGCCTTAAAGAGATGGTTCCAATGTGCTACTATTCAATTAGATTTCCAATTACCTTCTCGTTTTGAATTAGAATATAAATCAGAAAAGAGTTCTACTGATAGACCAGTTATGATTCATAGAGCTATTTTAGGTTCAGTTGAAAGAATGACTGCTATCTTGACTGAACATTATAAAGGTAAATGGCCATTCTGGTTATCTCCAAGACAAATCTTGATTGTACCAGTTGGACCAAAATATTTTGAATATGCTCAAAAACTTCAAAAGAGATTAAATGATGAACATTTCTTTTATGCTGATGCTGATGTTTCTGGTAATACTTTACCTAAAAAAGTTAGAACTGGTCAAATGTATAAATATAACTTTATTTTCATTGTTGGTGAAGATGAAGAAAGTAGTGAAAGTGTTAATGTTAGAAATAGAGATATTACTGAAGAACAAGGTAAGAATGCTATGATTAAATTTGATGATGTTGTTAAACAATTGCTTAAATTAAGAGATGAAAAGAGAAGTGATAATAAATTGATTTAGAGTTCTTTCGTTATTTACATAGTAATTTATATAATAAATAATATCTTTATACTTTCAACTTTGTACGTTACTCTTCTTTATTGTTGTGCATTCTTAGCTAACCATTCCGTCTGACTCTGACTCTCTCTCTCTCTCCATACAAAAGATGCAATAACAATACAGAAAAAAATTGATTTTCAAATCCCGTTCTAATTATTCATCATTGCTACGGCAACTACAAGATGTCACAACCACCACAAGAGAATCCATTAAAAGAAAGGCTCTCACCTCAACAATTCCAACATACAGTAGAATTCTATGAAGCTGACCAAAAGTTAAATCATGATGATAGAATTGAAATGGCTCAACAATTACGTGATGTCATTACTGGAAGTAGTTACGTATCATATGGTGCAGGATTTGCTATGTCCACACTTCCAACTTTATACTATCAATTCCTCTTGCGTAAACCTATAAATACAAAACGATTCGTTCAAAGACCATTTATTTCATTCTTATTTGGATTATCTGGACTTGTTACTACTAGACAATATGCATTAGAATCTCAATTACGAAACAAAGAGGCAAATATTACAAATCCTAGAATTCAACAAGTTTGGAAAATTTTACGTCCAACTGAAGTTCCATTGTTTTATTTTTATTATATTCAAAGTGCTAAAGATCCAAGTATAATAGCAAAAGACCCTAGGGGTTTTACTAAAGAAATGTTTGAAAATGTCCGTTTTGATCCAGAATTAGCAAAAAGAGCAGCACATAAAGGAAAGGATCCTAGGGGAGAATTGGGAGGAATGGAAGAAAGTCATCCTTCTCATTGGGATGAGCTTAGACAAGAAAGTGGATTGGTAACACCTGCAATACAAAATCAATATGGAGATTCTCCTTTCACTTTTCCCAGAAGGGACGATCGAGAAAATGATGATCCATTCTCATTTGCGGATCAAAATATTTTGAGTCCTGAGTCGGGGTCAAAAGATGACACTTCAAAATCCTCATGGGATGCCATCAGACGAGGTCAAGGTAGGAACTAGGATTAACTTACTAAGTGTAATGGTAACATGATGAACCTTCTGTTATCCTGGTGGATACACTTTGAATTTTGTAAATTCTTGTACATATGTATATATATTTATTATTCTCATAAGGATGATTATCTTTACATATTTCGATTAGTAAAATAAAAGAGAATCAGAGTTCTGACTAGTAAACTTGTTTGGGTGCAAATCAGATCCAATCAGATTTAAAAGTAGCAACTAAAAAAAATATTGACTCGGAGTTTTTTAAATTCATTCAACCTTTTAAAAGGGACCATCCAACCCTGCAAAATGGACTTACTACGGAAAACTTATTCACCAGATCCAATTGACTTCTATGAAGCAGATATCAAATTAACCAAAAATGATCGTATGGAACTTCATCATGAAATTAACAAAATTCTTACAAATGCAGGTGTTGTCTCATTAGGGGTTGGAATTGTGGGATTCACATTACCAAAATTCTATACCCAATATATCTCCCATAAACCAATGGGAGTGTTCCAACCATTAGTATCGATGATTATTGGATCTGCAGCATTGTTGGGTAGTCATAATTATGTATGTAAATCAGAATATGAACGACGAATAGATAATTTGAAGATGTTACAAAATAAAAGAATCACCGAGGTTTGGAAACATATGGATCCCGATAGGTTTGAATTTTATGCTCATTATTATTTGACTAGTGCTCAAAATCCAAAGCTTATATTAAGAGATCCAAGACTTGCTGATCGAAAGTATTCTCAATTTCCACCAATACTGCCGAAACAAGCAGAAGATAAGATAGAGCAGGAGGTGCAAGTACCGGAATTGACATTGCCACAATGGCAAGATACAACAGTGTCACATGCGAAACGTCAGATTGCGGATCCATATTTTGAGATAAGTGGAATGTCACTAGGAGTTGATAATCCAAAATTGATCGATAAGAGCCAATTTAAGAAAGAAAGTTCATCCCTGAACTTCTTAAAAGCTGAAAGTGATTCTTTTCTTACTCCAGAGGAAGAATCAACTAATCAAATGTCTGTATGGGAAAGAATTCGGAATTCTTCTAGATAAGAACTGTCGAAGCGTGATCAAGTGTCAGCTCTGTTTTCAACAAGATAAATTGTGTCGAATTCTAGGTCCTCTGAAAGACGACACGAAAGGCATAAAGAACGAAGTTCCAATCCATTTAGGTCAGTCACCACCCCGTTAACCAATACTGGATAACTTCTATTATGTACATTTGGTGTGCTATTACTTCCTAGCATGTTGAATCGGCGACACTTTTGTGGATACCGACTGTCCTTGAATCTTTTTATACTCTCTGTATATAGAATACTTATGAAGAGAATTGAGACGAAATGATGTTGACGGGTTTTAACTTTCTTTGTTCTATTCGATAAGAAGTTGTAACTTAGAGTATGCCTGGTAAACAGATTTTCTGGTGAAGAAATTACCAAATTTTTTGCAACATTTTTGAAATGACACAATTTTTTACAACCACTTTGTTTCAAAATGGATCATTTTAATCCCTCTTTTGTGGTTTGGATTTGTACTTTTATCAAAGCTTGAGTGTAGAATCATATCCTTATCACTTGTGAATTAAAGAAGTGATCAACACACCGAAGAAATGGATAAATGGCAACAACTTCTTGTTAAGATTTAATTCAAAATTTCAAGAACAACCCGACATCTGAGATAACCAGGTTGTATCCATTAAGTAAATGAAAGTCTGTCATTATAGGGTAATCATTTAAATAAGTTAAACTTCAACTTATAATCACGTCTTTCCTATTTCAAGGATATTACTTGGTAGCGCTATTCCATTTAGGACAACAAACAAAATTGAAACTGACGTGAATTTTTCAACACACTTGGTTGATAGTAGTGGTAATCATTAAGTAATAAAACACAACAGAGATGGACACATTTACAGATTCAGGTGAATTATATAATATAAAGAATCAATTCTATACTAATCAATTCCAAAAAGTAATTAGTTATACTTTAGATCAATTTTCTCCAGAATCACAATTAAAAGTTTTAGAATTTCAAATTAGATCAACCATTGCGTTAGAACAAGATGCTAGTGAATTAATAGAATATGGGAAAGTACAATTTAGTGATGAAGATCAATTATTTGAATTATTGACTGTTTGGAATGATTTGATGACATTTGGAATGGATGACTCAACCTATTTCCAAGATATTCAACAAGCTGAATTTGAATTACAAGCAGTATTAACTGCTATTTATTTAGTTCAATTTGAAAAAGATATCGATCAAGCTATTGACTTTTTAAATTCATATGTTAATGAATCTAAAAATGTTTATGAAATTGAACCATTTTTAATTTTGATGCAATTATATTTAATTAGAGGGAATTATACTTTAAGTGATAAATTATTTAATAATTTGAAAAGATTCCCTGATATTAAAGATAATATTATTTATCAAATCATTGAATCATGGATGTTATCAATTAAGGGTGAATCTGATAATATCAATAATTCATTTTATTTTTATGATGAATTATTATCAACTGGATTAGATGATGATGAATCATGTAAATTTAAAATATTAAGTATCTTATTTGTTTTGACTATTCAATTAAAACATTATCCAGAAGCTCAAGAATTATTAAAACAAATTGATTCACTTAAGGTTAAACCAAATGGTGATTTCATTGCTAATAAAATTACCTTTGAATATTTAACTCAAGGAAATCAAGAATCAATTAATTTGTTATTACAAGAATTAGAAAAGGTTGATCCTGAACATCAATATTTGGTGGACTTACAAGAGAGGAATTCAATCTTTAATGAGATTGTTACCAAGTATCATGTTTAGAATTGTTTTAAGATTGTGTATTGTAATTTTGGCTAATATATAAACAGTATTAATACGAAAACTTTTGCAAGATCTATTCTTCAACTTTAACGATTTCACCATCTTCATTTAATTTTAAACCTTCAGCAATTAATCTTCTTTCAATTTCTTTTAATTCATTTTCACGTTCTAATAATTCTTTTCTTTTATTAATTAAATCTTGATGAACTCTTTCTTCAAATTTCTTTAATCTTTCTTCTTCTAATTTAATTTGTTCTTCTTTCATCATATAATTAGATTCTTCATCTCCTTTAATATCAGGATTTGAAGAGTTTTTATTGGCAGTGGTAGTGGTTGTAGCAGGAGTGGCTCCAGTTGAATCTGATATATATTGGAATTGTTTACCTGATAAAGCTTCAGTTCTGTAATTTTCATAAATTGTTTCATGAGTAATATCTTTAAATTCATTTAAATGAGTAATTAATAATACATTCTTTAATACTGTAAAATCATTTATATCAGGATTTTCAACATTAATTGGAATTGAATGAATTGGATTTAAAATTCTAAATTTTAATTTATCTTCATCTTCATTTGGATTCTCTTTATAATCATTAGCACCAATAATTGCAAATGGAATTAAAGAATTTAAATATTTATTATATTCAATAATTTCATCATCAGTATATTCTTGTTCATATTCATATTCATTAAATTTATAATAATTGATTCCATAATTATTTAAATCTTCTTGAATCAATTGTTTATTTAATTGTAATTCTTGGGGAGTTAATGAATCAGCTTTAGCAATTGTTGGAATAATATTAACCAAATTATTAACATGTAATAAGAATTTGACATCAATTTCAGAAAGTCCATGTCCAGTTGGATTAATCATATAAATAAGAGCATGAATTCTACCATCTTTAAATCTTGGATTACGTTTAACTCTACTTTCTTCTAATAATACTTCATCAAATTGATGTCTTATAAAATCAACAATAATCTTAAAATCTTCACTACAATCAATTGAATTTGCAAAGTTTGGTGTATCAATAATATTTAATGAAATCTTATGACCTTCATTATCTTCTAATTCAACATTTTCATGTCTTAAAGTTAATTTTTTAGTAAAAGGATCTTGAGTTGCAGTCAGTGAAGTTGGAACAATTGGATTACCACCACATAATGTGTTTATTAAAGTAGATCTACCAGATCCACTCTCCCCAATAATCATAATACTAAAATTGATTGATCTTTTAAGAATCTTTCTTTTACGTAATGCAGCTGAAGAAATATCAGCATTATTATCAATCGAATAATTATATGACATTCTGTTATTCTCTATTCTCTATCTATCTCTCTAGCTCGGACTGGTGATACCTTTTGGTGAGTGAGTAACTATGTTTTGTATTATTTTGTCTGTCTGACTTTGATTGACTGACTGTCTGTCTGTCTGTTTGTCTATGTGTTTGGCCAAAAAAAAAATGATTTAGTTGTGGTTCAAAATACACGGACAATTTAACAACAATCTTGAAAAAATAAATTGACGGTGTAAGTTTTTTTGCTTATGCTGTTTAATTCAAGGTAAACTGTAAAAAACATCTGTACACACATAGAGAGAGACGCGCCAATCAAAAAAAAATATTCGTATAAATATGCATTTGAAACAAGAGTGTATTTCTATATTATTACCATTGCTTTTACAAAATACAAAATCATATATTTGAATATAGAGATAATAACGCATAATATATATCATATAAGAAGAAATAGAAAAGGTACAAGGCTAACGAAATGACAAGAAATTGACCCCTTCTTCTTGTCTTATATGTTTTCCAACCTCCCAATCCAATATTACTTCAACAATGTTTGGAATAGACGATTTTACAACATCTACTATCACTTGAGCATCTGTCATTTCCTTATTTCCAAACAAACGTAACTCTTGTAATTGATCACAGGACAGTAATATAATATTGGCTGCCGCACCTGGTTGTAGATTATTCAACGAAAGATCCAACTTAACTAACGAATGTGGGAAATGTAACAGCATTCCATGTAATTGTATAAATATGTTAGTAGAATTCAAGTATAGTTCCTTTAATTTTGGGAGATTCCAGAAAGCCGTAGGATTAAAAACCGCAATTGGATTTCTACCAAGATTTAGGTATTCTAATGACGCTGGAAGATCTCCCAATCGGGAAAGTTTGTTAGACAGTAAATCCAATTTCACGAGATTCTTATAGTTGTGTATTTGAAATTGGTCGAATAGTTTAGATTTTGTATCACATCGACTCAAATCTAGTTCAGTCAATGAATTTGGTAAGAAATCTCGACCTATTCTAATTGACAGTCGAAACCCGGTGAATAAAAGTTGTTGTACACATGCAGGGATCTGAAATTTTGATCTACTAAGAAGGCGTATAAGCGGCAACTTAAACTGTTTTAAGTTACTAGCTTCAATAATGATTCTTCCACGAATAGTGCTTCTAGACAAATCCAAAATGTCTAAGCTCAATGGCAATTTGCAAATAAAATCGCTCAGTTCTTCAACCCAACCGATTTTAAGTTGCACCAAATTTTCCATACTAGCCAAATTCAATAATTCAATCCCGTGCCAAGAAGATAGAACCAAACTCCGTAAAGATTTGGGAAATCGTATTTTTCCGATTTTGAAAACTTTTAGCTTTAACTCAACAAGCGTGTCTGGAAATACGGCTTGAGACCAATTTTCTTCGGGAATGGGCCACTTCCACCACCTCTGTTTCGTCTGATTCCAATCGTTTGAAATATGTAAAACCCTCAATGAACTTGGAAATAGCAATTTATCAGGTTGATAACATCCAAGATACGCCTTTAATTGAAGAACGTTTAAGTTCTTTGGGATTTGAAGGTTGTTACCTATGGGAATAAATACCTCAGTACCATTACCTTCAAATGACCACTGACTAGCGGGATGGTCTTCCATAGTTATTCTAAGCTTTCGTAGACTGGAGGGAAAAGTATTGTTTGAAAAGATCCTTGTTCCATAACCTTGAGATTTGATCTCAATCTCAAACTCTTTCAAATTAGGGTAAAGTTCTATACTATCCAAATCTGAAATATCTGGCTCATTGGCGCTTCCATATTCGCTCCATAAGATCACCCGCTCTATCCCAGGAGGAAACGTGAATCGTCTTAGGCTGTCCAAAGCGGAGTGAATTGCTGCCACAAATTCTCTTAAGCTTCCCAAATAAGTAACGTCCAATTCAACAAACTTGGTTATATTTATCTGCAAGAATTGTAAGCTCAACGGCAAACGGGGGAAGTCGTTCACAGATAAATCAAGCAATCCATCTATTCTCAACCTTTTCAAATTTGGAAATATCCGACAAAGGTCATTCAGTCCAACATTCCATAATGTAAGTTCCTGAATATTTCTACCCCAAGTTTTATCCTCAAATGAGGGGATAGACTTGGCAAGTACGGAGACGATATTTGGCAACATTTTCCCATGAATGAATCCTTTCAGAGAATCGGTTGTATTCTGGCGCGAAGGCAATAAAACTCGGTAAATGTTGTAGTCGAGACCGAAAGAAATGGGTGGTGACCTGTCCAGTTCTGTAACTGCAAGATCTATTCGTGGCAATTGACTTAGAATACTTGTATATCGTTCATGAAACCAAAGAAATTGGTCATACAGCAGGAAATAAACAATTTTAGGTTTAAAACTTGGGTATTTTCTAACAAATTGAACCAATTGGTATAGTCGCAAAGGTTTAAAAACTCGTTTGCTAGACTCTTGGTGTACGTAATTGAGATAACATTTTAAGACGGGTTTACTAACTCTTTTCTGAATAATATATTTGTATACTTCTCTTGAATCTAGAAATCGCGAGTATTCTGAGACTTCTGCAAAGCGATAGAGTCTATTTATTGCATATCCTCCTAGGAATGGAAGATTGACATAAGTTTCCAATATATAGTCGGGTATGAAAAAAACAATGAGTTCAATTATCTCGTTAGGTAAATCAAACAATTCAAGTCTTCTTCTTTGTCTCTTCCTTGCCGGGAAGTTTAAATGTTGTAGTTGTAGTTGTTGTGGAACCATCTTCGTTGAACCGTGTACCTTTTGTTTGGGAGGTTTAATAAAGAAACTGGTGATTAAGGATTACTTTTTAAACTCTAAAGAATTGAATTGACAAAATGGTTGCAAAGTTTAATTTTACGCGTATGTTTTGCCTTTTTCTTAATTGGGACATAATTAGAGAGAGAAAGAGAGAGACGGAGGAGTAAAAGGAAGTCAAGTATTTGATAAAACACATTGTAAGTATCAACTTAGTTAAGTAATCACAATAACATGTATATAAATTACAGTTATAGATTCAAATATTGAATTAAGTATTATTTTCTTGCTTAATTATATAAGTGTTTTTATATGACCATAATAGATTTTCATTAGAAAAGTTCTATTGGTTGTAAAAAAAAATTGAATTATTTCACAACAACTCCTTATTTTTTGATCGAGATAGAGAACGGGGGAAGGGACAAACGATCGATTGAAAGGTTAAAAGGGGTAAGGTAAGATGAATTTAGTTAAAGTATATGATGGTAAATTCATTGGAGGTGGATTACAATTGAAATCAATTGATGATGATAATGATAATGGTATAATTTGGTGTCCATGTCTTAATTTAATATTTATGATTATGAATAAAACTTCAATTTGGGTTTATAGAATTAATGGGGAACGAATATATTCAATTAATAATAAATCAATTATAAAATCAATTTGCTTTAATGATAATGGTAAATACTTTGTCACATGTGGTGCTGGTACTTCTACTGATGGTAATGGTATAATAAAGATCTATGATTCAAATAATGGTAATCTAATTAAAGTATTGGATTTATCATTTAATAAGATTGATTTCATTCAATGGAATCTTCATACTAATCAAGATGCATCTCAGCAATCATTATTTGATATTAATTTATTAAATAAATTACCAAAAGTATCTTCAATTGATAAACAAGAAGAAGGCGGTTTGCTAGAGTATCTAGTAATTGTTGATGATTCGAATAATATAACATTGAATTTTAATAAATTATTAACTATAACGGGTATTAAATTACCTCAAGATTATCAAATATTACAACAATTAAAAACAGGATTATTTGATCAAATTTTCTTAGTTAAACATGGTGATTATAATTACAAACTTTTAGCATTGAAATATAATATTGTGGATAAGAATATCTTGATTGATGTATTAATTAAATTATGTCAATTAATTAAATATCAAGATTATGTCAAATCCCAATTGAATGATTTATATAAACAGATAACACCATTTATTCAATTACTTGATAGATATATGTCTAATTTACAATCAGACATCAATTATCCAATCGCTAACTACTTAAATGATATTCTTCTAACGGGATTAATTACAGATGAATCAACTAAAGATTTCTGGTTAAATCAGTTCGGTGAACGTGGCTATAAGAAATTGAATAAATTAGGCAATTCAAGTTATGATTTATGTCGACAAGTAATTTATCAACATTTAATTTCATCAAATGAAAGAATGATCATATTAATTAATGATTTAAAAGGAATATCTATTTGGTTAAAAGATTCAAATTCAAAAGATGATTTGGGATTAAATAAATGCATCATACAAGAATTAATTTCAATATTAAAACATCAAATTAAACTATATTACAAATGCTTATGGGATATTCAAAATGAGCAAAAGCTATTTAATCAATTTTTGAGTTGGATTAAAACAAGCATTATTGATAGATTATCAAAAGAAGATGAAGACCAACAAGAGGCTAGTGATAATGCATCAATATCCATATCGGATATTTTACAGTATATTAATGGGAATTTATTTAATAGTGTTCTATGCAAATATTTCCCTTTTGAGGATGATTTTGAAACTATTCGGATAGGCGATCCAATTTGTAATCTAATTGATGAAGATAATAAATTGGAAACTAAATTGAAATCGTTATTATCATCAGTAAACTCATTCCATTTATCAATATTTATATTTCAAGAAATCAAATCAATTAATTTACCAAGCGGATATACAAGTTTAAATCTACAAAGAAGTAATGAGCAACAGTTATTATTATATCTTATTGATAAGGATTCTAATTTACAAATTATGAATGTTGAAACAAATGAATTCAAAACTATTCCACAGGTGAAATCATATAAACAAAGACAGCATGATTTGATTGTCTTGACTAATGATAACAAGATGCATATCGTTGAATTGTCTAGCATATTTACAAGCAATGACAGTACCTTAAGTATTGATATATCTACCTTAATATCATTCCAACCTCATAGATTTCTCATGGGTGGAGAAGATTTTGGATGTGTTATTGATTCCTTAAATCAAAATTATTCAGTTTTTAAATTTGCAAAATCATAATAATTCTCAATATAGAATTCATATTTATTATCTTTACGATTAAGATAAAATTGTTTGGTTAGCCATTCACGAAGTATCAAATAAAAATTATCATCATTATCAATATTTAGAATTGGTTTTCTTAAATCTTGTGTAATTATTGGATCTAAATTGATTTGATCTTGTAATTGTTTACGATGAATATATTTATAATAATTTGGATTTATAGGAATTTGATTATTAACCATTTGAGCTATATCGATAATATCCTTCTTTAGCATTGGTTTACAACTGGTAAGAATTTGCCTCACTTGGCTAATTCTAGTTTTGACAAGCCTATCTCGAAAGTGTGATCCAATAGGTAATCCATAATTAGTTGGTGGATAAAGTATTTCGAAGATTGGTGGTTTAACTTCAAGTCTATCTTTATGATTTAAAATGAACTTATATAATTGATCAACTCGCTTAAATATATTTTCAACGGGGTTTTCTCGAATACCATAATGCTTATATAATTCAAGAGGTTTTACCTTCAGGTCCAACCCTTCATATCCTAAGAACTCAGTAACCAGGAAATCTGCATTTATATAACTTTTTAATTGATTATTATATTGTTTAACATCTGCATCTGCATCTCCAGATTTTCCAATTTCATTAATCATTTCAATTTGGGGCCAGAATGGTTTAAATTTTATATATGGAATCTTGTGAAATTGATAAATCCATGAATTATCTCTACCTTTATATATAGTATCCAATAATTCGGGTATTTTAATAGTATATGATTCTTCTATTAAGATATCATCAAGTAATATTTTTAAAGTATGAACATTTGCTGTTGAAGATGATGATCGTAATGCCTTGCGATATCTCTTTTTGACAAATTTTCGAGTATCTTGAATAATTGGTGATGGTAATGGTAATCGTCTTATTTGTTTTACAACTGACTTGTAATCCTTTAGTAGAGTCTTCATGATTTTGCGTTTTCTTTTCTCTCCTTGCCTCCTTGTCTATCACTATATACCCAGAGAGCAAAGAAGATCTGCTCTCTGATGAGGTTTCCAGTAATAAGAATTAATGGGTGAAAAATCCATGAGAAAAAAATAATTTATAAACCCAATGAATTTAAACAGGGTGGTACAGTAAACAATCTATATGATCAATTAAAAGAGCCAGATCAAATTAAGAAAAAAGGAAACAGACAACAAGAACAATGGCATTGGCAGAGACTTTGGTAAGAGCGATTAATAAATTAGGATTGGTTCCTAAATTGATTCAATTGTTACCCAAATTTTCATTAATAATTGCTTTGATAAGTTGTTTATGGTTATTTGTATTACCTTTGGATGATTATTATCGTAATACTTATATTTCAGAAAATGCTTTAATGCCAGGACAAATTCATTCATATTTTAGAGAAAGTGAATGGAATATAGTTAGAGGTTATAGAGATGAATTAAAAAAATTAGAACCAATGACAATTCCACAACGTAATGAAATCATTGAAACTTGGTTAAATGATTTAGGTTTGCAAACTTCTTATCATGTTAATGGATTTGCAAATGATACCTTATATGCAGTTATGCATGCTCCAAGAGGTGAAAATACTGAAGCTATGGCGTTGGTTGTTCCTTGGTCTATTGGTACTAATGATGACAACAATGATAATGAATATAATGAAGGTGCACTTGCCTTAGCAATGTCTTTAACAAGATATTTCACAAGAATGTCAATTTGGTCTAAAAATATTTTACTTATATTTCCTCAAGATACTCGGAAATCACTTAGAAGTTGGGTAGAAGCTTATCATTCTACTTTGGATAATACTGCTGGTTCAATTGAAGCAGCTATTGTTATTGAGTATGGGAAATCAATTGGAGATTACTTTGATTATTATGAAATGTATTATGAAGGATTGAATGGTCAATTACCTAATCTTGATTTATTAAATACCGCAAATACAATTGCGCGTCACGAAGGTATTCATTGTTCAATTCAAGGTATAACTACTCCAAAATTCACGTATTCAACTAGATTACAAACTTTATTAAAAGGAATATTACAATTAACCCTTCGAGGATTAACTAGACATTCACCAGGCTGTGAAGCATTTTCCGGTTGGCAAATTCAAGCATTTACTATGAAAGCCATTGCCAATGAAAATAAAAATAAGCATGATATCACTCAATTTGGTAGAATTGTCGATTCAAGTTTTAGATCAGTTAATAATTTATTAGAAAAATTCCATCAATCATTCTTTTTCTACTTAATGCTTTCACCTAAGAATTTTGTCTCCATTGGAACTTATTTGCCAAGTTCAGTTGGATTGGCTGTTGCTTATGTATTGAGTTCTTTAGGTGGGATTTTAAATGGGAAAATTGAATCAAAAGATATTTTATCCAACCTTTCAACAATCTTGTTAACCTTTGTTAGTGTTGAATTGGCATGTGTTGGATTATCATTTACTATTCCATTTATGATTCTTAATTCAGATGATGATGCTTTAGGTGTTTCGGCCCAATTTTTGTTGATATTACTGAGTCTTGGATTCTTGGTCACCATTTTATCAATGACTATGAAAAGGAGATTAAATAAACCTGTTGCATATTCGTTAATTTCATTGGCTTTATTCGTTATTGCTCTTTTGATTACTGCCTTGATGATTGTTCATTTTTCGTTAGCATTGATGATTGGTCTCTTGGCATTACCTTTGAGCTTGATTCCAAACTTAATGGATCAATTAGGTGATGTTTCTAAATTCACATCCACACAACAAGATTCCGAACCTCCGAAAGATCCAATGACAAAATTCTTACAATTTGTGAAAACAAATAAACCTCACATGTTAATTTGTTTATGTTTATTAATCTCGAATCCGTTCTTTATAATCCTTGTAGGTGGTAATTTCTTAACTACAAATGAGGCCGGTGGTATTGAATTATTTCAAGGTTTGACTACCAGTTGGAATGATCTTCAATGTTGGACTTGGTTTATTGTTATATTGGGGTGGTTTCCTTGCTGGATCTTGGTAGGGATTGGATTTGTCCTCTATCGTGTTGATATTGATGATATATTGTCGAAAAAGAAATTAGAGTAAGATATGTGTATGTAGGTTTATAGAGATTAACTTATTGTCTTTTTTTTTACATTAGATCCGTAGTATTAACAAGTTGAGGTTTTATTATGCTAATCTATTTACAAAATTGTGCTTTCATTCGTTTCCTTCTAAATTTGTTTGAATGGAATAACTATACCAGGACCTTGGAATGATGAAAGAGCACATTTACCCACTACAGTTTTCTTTAAGTCCTTACTGCTAAACTTTGAATAAACTACATCAGAAGCAGCTTTCAAATTTTCTAAAATTTGTTTATCACTGAAATTGGTTGTTCCAATTGAGAAAGAAAGATTTTGATGCTTTTGTCTAAATGGAGCCATAGAACCTAACTTAAGCATATCTTCAATTTTATCAGTAACAGTACCTTTCTTTGCGTTTGGCATTATCCCTTTTGGACCCAAGATTCTAGCTACCGATTTCACATCAATTTCTGGAGTTGCAAATCCATGAGTAAATTGATCAATATCTATTTCCTTCTTGGCAACCTTTTCAAGCAATTCTCTCCCACCAACATGGACAATATTATGTTTCTTAAATTCTTCAACTTTATCAGAATCACTGGTGAATACAATTGGATTAAATGTGGTTACTGGATGAGGGAAATTGATATTTCCAGAAAGGGGCACAGCACCAGCTTCTTGGGCAACTTCCAAGTAAACAATAACTTTAGCTTTATTACCTACTTCGGCAGCACGTATATATCTCATGGCAGTTGGTATGTCCATATACAATGGATGATTGCTTGGATCTTTAGCCAATTCTTTCATTCTAAGTTTTTCTCTAATTTTAATCTTTTCTCTAGTACTTGGTTTTGCTAATACAACACAACTGGAGGAGAATGAACGAACCCCGAGAGCATTCTTGCTTACTATTGAAGCTACACCTGATTTAAACATGCTCTATGATATTCTCTGTTTCTCTCTCTCTAACAAGTTTAAGCTTCGCAAGACCTGGTTTGATTACTATGAGAAAATTTTTATTAACCAAAACTGAAAAAAAAAAATTCAGATTGAAATCACGTGAATGGTCAGGTGATATTTATCACATGATTTTCGAAGTTTTTGTAAGCCGCACCTAAAAGGTATGTCGTGTTTTTTCTTAAGAATGTCAGATATTTTAAAGTGAGTCAGACGTAGAATTCTACGACAAGGCGGCTACGGACCAATTCCAAATTTACATTTATGCAAGTTTTAGACATCGGAAAAATGACCAGATTTAGTTCTTCTCAAAGATTCTCAAAATTATTGAGAAGTGCAACATGATGCTATTTCATTTTGGATGATTTCTAGAAAGTTTTAAAAAAGAAAACTTAGCGTCATATGAGGTTGATTCAGGGTATTAGGGTCATGAAAAATAGTTTTGTGGATAAAATTTTAATCCGATCAGATAAAAAAAAAATAATTTATTTTCACAATAATTCAAAACAACACCGGAAGAATTTCTGTTGGTATATGCAATAGAAAACCAAAAATTAATTTACGCAACATAATTCCGGATACTTTCTTTTTCTATATTTAAATTTATTTTTAATCTTTCTAAAAGATTGCTTCTATTGCATAGAATTGTAATTTATTATTTATTATTGAATTACTAATTTTAATAAATTAATAAATGAACGATTTGCTTCCATCGCATTTGCTTCCATTGCATTATATTGCATATACATAATATAATTATCAATATTCCCATCTTTTAGTAAGATCTACTTAGTATAGATCAATATTCCCACATTTAGTAACATCTACAACCATATATGACTGTGCATAATAGATCCTTCATACCGGATAATCCATCCCCACTCGCATCTAGATCTTCATCTAATAGAGTGAAGCATACGTTACCAAGAAACGATACCCCAACTACAAGCATACTGAGTAATGACAACTCTGACGAAGACGATGACTATTCATATGATGATATTAATGAAGATTCTATCCACAAGACTATCCCTCGAGAGTTTTTCAACCGATTAATCGAATTTCCATTATTTAGCAATGCCCCAAAATCATTCCATACCAAAATCGTATCAGAATTAAAACTAATGCAATATCATCCTCAAGAATTTATAATCAAAACTGGCCAATGTAGTAAATCAATGTATTGGATCCTTAAAGGGGTTGTCAGTGTCACTTCCTCGCCTGATGGCGAAAGTGTCTATGCTGAATTAGCTAGTGGGTCATTTTTCGGAGAGATTGGAATATTGTATAATCGACCTAGAACAGCTACTGTAGTAGCAAAGACAAGAGTATTAGTGGGTGTTTTGACAGCAAAGGCGTTGAATATGGTGTTGAGGAATTATCCATCGATAGAAAGACGGATTAGAGATGAGGCACAAGAAAGATTAGCCATGCAAGAAAAGAAAAAGAGAAACAATAAATATCAAGATGAGAGTATATTACCACAAGGGAAGCACAATCTTCAATATCACCAGCAGCAGCTACAAGTTCCATTAGATGAAAAGGGCTATAATGCATCTATGTTGGCTAGTCAAGCGAGTATTATACCCGGACCACATGTTCCATCACTATTAACAACTCCATCTTCTTCATATCCAAGTTCTCCAAATACAAGCAGTGTTGAACATCTCATAGTAATCCAGGATTTCATAAGGAGTCTTCCGATTTTTCAAAACTTACCACGAGATATAATTCATCAATTAGCATTAGGTGTTGAACCGTTATCAATATCTCAACCATATGAAGATATTCTCCATAAGGGTGATGATGGATCGAATATTTATTTTATCATAGATGGAGAAGTTGAAGTTTTCGATTATGCCCATGATGGAGAATCAAATCGGGTGGAAACTATCTTAGCGAGGTTATCTCAGGGAAATTATTTTGGAGAAATGTCCTTTTTAACTATTTACAAAACCAAACTGAACGAACTACCCGAACTGCTTCTGTTCGATCTATTACGGCTTGTGAATTAATGGTGATTAAATCAGATCGCCTAATGACATTGTGTGTGCAGTATCCGTTTATTGTCGAAGATATGAGATCGACTGCTGAAGCAAGGAGGAATAATTTAAACCTGCTTCAGAATGATGATAGTAATAGCGAAGAAGAGATATTCACCCCAAACTGGACATTTCAGAAACGACATAAACTGGTCTCGCCCTCAATATCAATCTCAAGATCTCCATCTCCTGACTTCAGATCAATTCAACCAACACCTTCTTCCTTCCCCGCCAAGCTTCCTCCAATAACCACTCCTACAACTACTCAAAAAAGAAGACGGTCGGTGGATATAGACATCCCACCTACTTCAATAGATAACTTCCAAGCATTCCATACCCTACCCAAACCAAAACCCTACATTCCACATAAGAGACGGCGCACGCTCGCCCAGATCAATCCAACACATCCCGGAAGGAGACGCTCTTCGATATTGGCAAATTGTGAACTCTTGCCCGACAAGCTAACCCAACAAATCCTCCAATACCTCCCCTTAACTTCCATGATGAGATTTCGTCTAGTATCGAAAAAATGGAGACATTTGTTACATATGATACCATTACCCATCCTTGATCTTAAACCTTGGAATACCTTGGTGGATGATAAGGCGTTGATAAGTATAACTGATTTCGTGGGATGTAGACCTGAAATAATTGATATTTCGAATTGTTTTCATATTACGGATGAAGGATTTAGTTATATGATAAATGAGATTGGGATTTCTGGGAAAATAAAGACGATTAGAATGGTTTCGAATTGGGAAGTTAGTGCGATGGCTATTATGGATTTAAGTGTGGCTCATGTGGGAAGATATTTGGAAGAGATTGATTTATCTAATTGTCGGAAAGTGCGTGATGATGTTTTGGAAAGGTTGATTGGATGGGGAGAAGAAGAAGAGGAGGTTCCGGGTGTAGGAGTAGATGAATTGGTGGGATGTAAGAGGTTAAAGGTTTTGAATCTTGGATATTGTAAGCATTTGACTGATTCTACGATGAAACATATTGCAATGCAAGCTAGTGATAGAATTGAAGTGTTGGATATTACAAGATGTACATTGATTAGTGATCTTGGATTTGAATATTGGCAATATCGGAACTTCTCCAATTTAAAACTGTTAATCCTTAAAGATTGTACATTTTTAACTGATAAAGCTATGTTTGCAATTGCTAATCTGGCAAAGAATCTAGAAACTTTGAATTTGGATTTTTGTTGTAGTTTAACTGATTTATCAATAGAGGTATTAAGTTTAGGTTGTCCCAAATTAAGACAATTAAACTTTTCATTTTGTGGACTGGCAATCAGTGATTCTTCATTAGTTACAATTTCATTAAATCTTGCTTATTTAGAAAGATTGATACTCAAGGGGTGTATTAGAGTTACTCGTGCTGGCGTTGACGCTTTGTTAAGTGGGATATCACCAAGATTGAATTATCTTGATATAAGTCAATGTAAGAATGCTCATATCTATCCTGGAAACTTCCCAGCTCAACAATTAACCATCAATCCACAAACTAAATCTGCATTTGTATCTGCTGGTCCATATAACAACATTACTGAGATTGTATTATAAGATTATAAACATTACATAGACGAAATACATACATTACTTCTTACCCTTCTTTTTCTTGACTTTATCTTCAAATTCGATACACAGAATGGGTATGCCTTTATCTTTCAATATTTCAATAATCAATTTCCCATGAGGTCCTTGAACTTGTACCTCTGTTATTGCAGGATTATGGGTCGCTTGACCAATAGTAGATGATCCACTACATTTATTTCTTAATTCCTCAGCAAATGCTCCCGGTTTAATATTAAACTTCTCAAAATTTGATACTCTAGTAATTATCTTTCTTCCGATTTTCATTTCTGTTATGATTGTAATTTTGGGTAATTGACCTTTTTGAATGGGGAATGCCTCTCCATTTGATAAAATTATTTGATAATGAGGTGAGAAATTGGATAAGAATTGTTTGAATATTTGATCACGGGCGACTTGTGGTCCTTGTTTGTTGGAAGTGATGGTAGCTAGGGTCTCATCTATACGGATTGTCTTTTTGTTCTTACCGATTAATTCAAACTTATTGGCGTATGATTCTAATAATGTACGTAATTCAGGTGAGGTATAGATTGAATCGTATTGTTTATCTAACTTGTTGAAGAACATTCTTGATTTACTCGTTGGCTTATATAATAATTTAATATTCATTTGTTTTTTTGTCAGATCTTGTTGATTAGTTGACTTTGGTTTATTAATCTTATGAGGTACAAAGTTTTCTATAATTGGAGTTGTTGATGCAATTAATTTAATGATTGATAAATCTTCATCTTTTCCTTTCACATCAAGATATCCTAATTTAGCCATGGCTTTAAGATATTTAGATGTTTTTTTATATGAGGTTTTTTTAATATTCGTATATGAAGAATCCATAATTGGGAGATTTTTGTAGATATGGGAGGACATGAATGTTGATGCAGTTATGGGGAGATCTACTTTATCTAATTTGATTGTTTGTAATAATGCTCTAGTAAAGAAATTATCAATTTCTTCGGTTGTTAATTTAACAGTGTCATCTTCTTCTTCTGCTTGTTCAGTTGTTGCCTCTTCTTCTTCAGCCGCTTCCGGCTCTGGGGACGTCTGTTGTTCATTGGCATTTCCATTTGTTGCTTCAATAGGAGTAATCTCTTTCGACTTGGCCTCACAAGATTCTGGCGGTACCTCATTCCCTTCTTTTGTTTCCTCCAACTCCAAATCTCCAACTTGTTCTTCCAATGTCTTTTCCTCTGATTCTTCTCCTTCAATCACCGCTGGCATAGTAGTATCAAGCATTTCTGGAACCGGAACATCCACTTCTCGATTAATCTTCGCCAACTCATCATTAAACAGATGTATAATCTCAACCGCTACCCCTGTCCTTCCAATAACCGATTCATATCTAGTCATATCAACTTTACATATTCCCAATGCCATAATTACCCCTGGACGTTGTTTACTAACCACACCTACAACAGCGCCTCGCTTCAATCTGGAGTCAAAAGGCGGTACAGTTCCTGGAATCATGAGATCAGCTCCATTGCCTATGATATCTATAACATGAGGATGGGTTTGGATGGTGGGGATCAAATATGGACATTTCCATAAGGTGTAAACAGTAGGATATAATTGAGAATCACGAGTTTGAAACCAACGCGGGATTTCTTGATTGTCGAATAATATTGAACCTGAATAACCCAATGGAGATTTGAATGTTGCTCTTTTGGTTATTGGTGGTAATATATCTTCTAATGATGATTTAGGAAGTTGAGTTGATGATAATGAATATACTTGACATATTTGTGAAAGTAATTTTCTTCTTTCTGATGATTTGATATTGGCTGATGGTTTGACCAATGTCTGTTTCTTAAACATACTCATTGCACTATTTACTCAATTGTAAGAACCGGGCAGTTGCAATAGCAATCGAAGAAGAAGGAGAAGAATTGGGATGTATGAAAAATTTTGAAATTTTAGGGAAATATTTTTATATCACGTGATTGAAATTTTGAAACCCAGATTTCTTTCAATTGAACACATCAACATCAACAACAGCAACAAGAAGAACAGAGGTAGAACCAGAGCAAAGTTTAAATATGGAGAAACCAATAGATAATAGTAAGGATGAAGAAGTGGTGGGATATAAAGAGCAACAGGTAAAGCCATCAGTTGTAACTGATGAACCTTCAACAACAACGAAAACAAGATATTTAATTATCTTCATTATGATTATTTTCATTATAACATTAGGATATCCATTATATATTATAACTACTAATATATACAGAGCTGATATTCCGTCTATTCAGGAAATTGACAACATCAATGAATTGGTTAAGTTTAATATACCCTTATATGTTAATGGTAATCAGCAAGTGGATCAATCTATTCTTAATCAACAATTGAATCAAAGATATCCTAATCTTAACAACAATTGGGTAATAGAATTAACTAATGAACCTGTGACTGATGGTTATACTATTAATTTACACGTATCAAGCGATGATAATAATCGTTATGATGTGTTGAATAGAATTGTTGATGTATATACAAAAAAGGATGAAGATGTCAATGATTATATTGGGAAAGTACTTTATGATTCATTATTTCAATATGAATTAAATAAGATCAATTCAATTATTAAAGGAGATACAAGCTATGAAGATAGTGGAGTTGCTTTCCCATATAATCCTAAATTCAATATTGTTATTTCATTATTGGTTGAAAATGGTATTTCAATCAATTGGGAAATAGACCAATTATTAATACAATATCAATCAATATTAAATGGCTTATTCAATCATTATTCCAATTTCACAATCACATCACAAGTTCAATATTATTCAAAATTATCAAAAGATTATCAATTAACCAATTATACAATTCAACAAGATGATTTATCAACATTTATTAATTTTAATGATTGGAATTTAGATAATGTTAATATTAATCCAACTATTAATTTCTTGATCTATTTCCCAAGTTCCAATTATCAAGGTATACCTTTATTGATTGAAAATTCAACTACTAATTCATTCCTTGTACCTCAATGGGGTGGCGTAACTATTTTGAATTGCTTCGATAAACCAGTAATAATCACTAAGGATAAACCAATTACAATTACTCAAGATCATTTAACAACAACAATNCTTTATTGATTGAAAATTCAACTACTAATTCATTCCTTGTACCTCAATGGGGTGGCGTAACTATTTTGAATTGCTTCGATAAACCAGTAATAATCACTAAGGATAAACCAATTACAATTACTCAAGATCATTTAACAACAACAATGAATATATTCATATCTCAATTATTCCATTTATTAGGAGTTCCCTCATCTGCTTCAACTGGTCCTACATCAACATTAATCAAAGTTGATTCATTAACAAGAATTCAAATATTGAAAAATTTAAAAGAATCAAAAGCAAACTTACATTCCTTAATTAAATTATCTGAATCCTTAAATGAAATCACCATACCAGAAGAAACCAAAACCATGATTGATTTAACTCTTGACAAAATCAATCAAGCTATTGCTCAAGCTAAAGATATTCATAAAAGTATGGAATTTAGTGCACAAGCTTTAATATATTCAAATAAAGCATTTTTTGAAGAAAAAATGGTCCAACAAGCTTATTTCCCCAATGAACATAAATTAGCCGTGTTATTACCTTTATTAGGACCTGTTTGTTCAATTATGATTTTTGGTAGTTTGAAATTAGTAAAAGATTTGAAATCTTTAAATACTGTTTTAAAGAAGAAGAAAGATGAATGAGAGAGTGTGACTTAGACAATATTGCTTATGTAGCGTGTTCGGTGGGAATCCGTTAGACTTCTATATTAATCTAAATAAATATGCTGGGAGCACTATGTGCTTGATCACTGGTATACCGTTTCCTTGCTTCGATTGGGAGCGCCCTCTATTAGCTTGTTAAGCCGTGAGTAAACCCAACACATAAGGTAAGCCGTGAGTAAACCCAACACACAGGGTACACGTTGCATTATGAACCGCTTTTCATATACTTTCCAGACCACGCATCTCTAAGCAACGTGTAGCATATACGTATTGTATGAGCGACTTCTTTTCATAGAAACCAACCAGTCTGTGATTGTGAATCTCCTCCAAAGCCTAGTTCCTAGTATGCATCAAAATACTCAAAATAAGAATATATTATTATTAGTAGTTGGTCATTATCTAGATCTTTTCCATTGTAGTTGTATCTATGTCATAGCTTACACTATACCAGAGTTAAAGTTTGCATCCCATGTGGGTATGTCATACAAATAATTTGTAGTTTATAATTTCTCCTGAATTTGGAACCAATTTTTTGCAGTAATTAACAACCTTGGTACATCATCAAGATTATACTTGATTATTTCTATAGATTTATAGATTTAAGTATAAATAGCGACTTATATCCCCTGCAATCTTATCTTATTTATCAAATCAATAATATTAATACACATAATCATTTTATATAAATTTAAGATTCCCCATACTATTGTACAATTGGCATAATTATTTTTTAGTGTAATAAAGAGATCTACCGAAACAAACGAAAAAAAAATTTCACATTTCTATCTTTTACTTTCACTACTACTACTGTCCTTCAAAGCTAACAATATGAGTAGATATTTAGTCAATACAATTGGTATTAGTTCAATAGGTATAGCATCCTATTTCTGGGGTAAATCATCAACACCATCCAGTCCAACCGACACCCCAACCATCCCACCTCCATCATCAAACCTTCCAGCCCCCATCAAACCAACTGGAAAAGAAGTATTTGATCCATCATTAGTCCGTCCCCAAGATTTCTTCAGATATGGATTTCCCGGCCCTTTACACGATCTCCAAACCCGTAATGAATTCGTATCGTGTTATGATCGTTCCACCAGAAATCCATATTGGGTAGTTGAACATATCACCAAAGAATCAATCAAACGAGGATCAGGCGTCGATCGTAAGAAATCAACATTTAAAGAAGATGAATCGATTCCGGTGAAATTTAGAGCTAGATTAAGGGATTATTTCCGGAGTGGATATGATAGAGGACATAATGCCCCAGCAGCAGATGCTAAATATAGTCAAGATGCTATGGATGAAACGTTTTATTTAACGAATATGAGTCCACAAGTGGGTGATGGTTTCAATCGTGATTATTGGGCCCATTTGGAAGATTTTGCAAGAAGATTGACTGATAAATATGATGATGTTAGGATTATGACTGGGACTTTGTTTTTACCTAAATTAGGACCAGATGGGAAATATAGAGTTACTTATGAAGTTATTGGAAGTCCGCCAAATGTTGCAGTACCAACTCATTTCTTTAAATTGATTGTTGGGGAAAATAAATCTGATAATGGAAAGATTAGTTGTGCTGCATTTGTATTACCTAATGATGTTATTGATAATAATGTTCCTTTAACTGATTTCCAAGTTCCAGTTGAAAGTGTTGAAAGATCAAGTGGGTTAGAATTATTACATAAAATTCCTTATTTTAATAAGAAAGATTTATGTAAAGAAGTTAAATGTGAATTAGTCATTAGAGAATTCCCAAAACAAGTTAATAATGTTATGGCATTACCTGCTCCTGGGAAGTAAGTTAGATCTTGTATATAATATGTGTATATATCCCAAGTAGATATTCTTTACTAAAAGTTATTGAATCTGAATATAGTAAATACTGACTGTAAATATGCGAATCAGCTGGCAAGAGGGAAAATTGGCTACAATCTAGTTTGCAATACTTCTTTCTCAGTTGGTAATTTTGACTATCCAACTCAGTCACTATTATATAATTGACAATATTAGGAGATATATTATTGTTCTCTTTCTTTGAAGCTTGATTAGGCAAATTATTGACTTGTTATGAGAGTTGGATGTTTTACAGGAAGTGGTTGCAAAAAGAAATCTTGTAAGAGTGGGCCACGAGGGCATTTTCTATATGTAACAACTAAGCAAATTTATTATGTTATGTCCATTAGTTGGCTTATTAATTCAGCACAAGACATTAGGTAATATAAATCTCTTAGATAATGGCTCTTTTGACTTAAAAGTATATTTTTAAGATTCCCACATTTGACTCTAGAATCACAAGAGGATAGCTTGTAAATGCAGTTCGTTCACATTGGATAATCATACAAGAACTGGCCCGATTTGGATTTTTTTTCAAAAGGAGAATAACTTCAGAAACAAGTTGGTTTACTGTTACAACCAAAGTAAGAGAGCAATAGCTACATAAAGTAACTTTACCAACAAGAAACCATAGAAACCTACGGAGAAAGACATGTTAAATCTAAAGGTAAGAGTAATTGCGACATATGTCGCTCACAAAATAATTTCGAGAAGTTTAGGATAAAGAAGCGACATTATTAGTTAATAATCAGGACCAACAACCAGGGGACTATAAACTTAATCCCCGGGTAAATCAAAACAAATAAACTTTATGTGGCTATGTTGAACTTATAGTTGGGTTTGTATAGAACCAATAACAGTGGGATTTGTAGGGCATATCCTATTACGTTGGCTAATAGAAATTATTGGTAATCAAAATCAGTTATTTGTTGGAACAGCTGTTACAGTTTGTTGAGATCTGTATGTTTAGTGTATTCAGCCATGTGTCTTTGCCACCCCTGTCTATTAAAAGAACAATACAAAAAGAATAGTTTGTCGTCAAGCTGTAAAAAGATTCTTTTTGAATTGTTGGTTACATAAAAAAACAATACAATTCAATAACGAAAAACGTCTTAATTTGACTAACCTGCATATATATTAAAATTGTTGGGATTTTCCTGTACATTATCTTTAAGCCCAAATAATAATTAGGAAACCGTTGAGAGATGTTGTTCCAACCAAATTTTTTTTTTTACAAGTTAACATGCAGTCTCAAAGAAATTTTCTTTTGTAACAAAAAGGCGAAGATTATTTTTTAAAGGACTAAAAACCGTTCGTACATCAAACAAACAAAAAAAAAAAAAACTCCGAGATTTGAAATGTCTTTTGCTTTTGTTGGTTTATCTGACAGAAAAAGGTTACGAAAGAATCTCTAGAAATGATTAGGAACCATTTCTAACTGCAATAGTAGGTTAATAGCTACTAATTAAACGACTGACTCAGACAAATGCAAAACAATGTAAGGGAAGGAGAGATTGCTGCAAAAAAATGGAATTATACAACGAGTAATTAGACTGTACTAATGGTATGTTCACCTACAAAGAATAACAAAAAGGACATGTACAATAAGACTGCATATACATCTAACCAGATATTAGTTCCTGACATATTCGGACTGTTGTACGAATTATTAGGAGAGAAAAAGAAAGTAAAGAATTCAGTGTGGAATGAAACCAATTTGCAATCAATTTGGTAAAGAAAAAAGCAACTTAAACAAAAAAGAAATTGTTACAGATTGAAAAAAATAAAAAGTACCAACAAAAATTAAAAAATAAAAATTGTTGCAAAAAAAAACAATTATTATTTTCTTTCTTTCTTTCTTTTCAACACTTTTTACACGACCAACATTTTTAACACATACACATTCATTTACTATGTGTATCTGGATTGCTATTGCTACTACTATTGCTGTGGCTATTAAACTAGCTGTTACTGTAAATGATTCTAGAACATCTACGTGAAAGGTAGAGTAACCACAAGTTTCCCCTGTGTAATATTCATAAAGTTAGTAGGGTGTTACTAGATCATCGTAAATTTCCTGTCATATTTTATAGATAATTGAGGCATATAATTAGATTGCACTACTATAAATTCCAGTGGCGAAATGCATACTGTGATAAAAGCTAAGGGAGAAGGTATTGTTTGTATGACGACAATAATACTATAGTAGAATAATAGATTGTGGGCGTGTATGTGTATGTGTTAAAACGGGTATGGTAAAACGGATATCGTAAATTTATTATTATTTTATTTTCTTTTTTTAATTTATTATTATTTTTTATTATTTCTCTTCTCAACAAAAAAAAATTGTTGGTTATAAAGATTAGCAACAGTTTAGCTATTTATCAAATCAATTTTGTCAATTTTTTTTTTACAACCACTTTTTCAGAATTCTCTTTCCTTTCTTCTTCTTCTTCTTCATTAAGAGTTTTATCCTTATAAATAGTTCTTATCAAACAACCAACCAAACCTTTTTAATAGACAACAACAACAACCAACTTATATATCAAGTTAGCAATAATATAATAATAATTACAGTACCACAACAAATCATTATTTTATATTATTTTTCATTTTCATATATTTACAACAACTTAGACTTATCAACTACTATTTATTACTACTTATTATAAGAAACTATCACTATTATCATGGCCAACTCAACTCATAGACCATTTTCATTATCTCATGGAACTATTGAATTAACTTTCTTAGTTCAAAATAGATTATTCTTCAATTATTCTCAATTACAAGAACAATTTAATAAATCTTTACCAGAACCAACTGAAGGATTTGCTGATGATGATGAACCTTCTTCTCCTGCTGAATTATATGGTAAATTCTTAGGTTTTATTGCCAGTGCTAATGCTACTACTACAACACCAGAAGAACAATTAGAAATTTTGAAATTATCTTTACAAGATTTTAATCAAAGATTTTTATCTAATAATGATAATATTCATTCATTTGCTGTTAAATTATTATCTGATGATCAAACTTATCCAACTACTGCTCAAAAGATTAAAGATAATATTATTAAGAATTATTATCAAGCTATTATTAATTCAAAGACTGATATTGCTAAAATTGAATCCAATTTATTATATCATGCTTCTCCAAAAGGTGGTGATGCTAAATTAGTTGCTATCTTTGGTGGTCAAGGTAATACTGATGATTATTTTGAAGAATTAAGAGAATTATATAAATTATATCAAGGTTTACTCGATGATTTAATCTTACCAATTACTACCAAATTAAATCAATTAGTTAAACAAGATTCTTCCATGGATAAAATTTATACTCAAGGTTTAAACATTTTATCTTGGTTAAAAAATCCTGATTTAACTCCAGATCAAGATTATTTATTATCTGTTCCAGTTAGTTGTCCTGCTATTTGTATCATTCAATTATGTCATTATGCTATCAACTGTAAAGTCTTAGGTTTAACTCCAGGTGAATTTAGAAACTATTTATCTGGTTCTACTGGTCATTCTCAAGGTTTAGTTACTGCTGTTGCCATTGCTTCTGCTGATAATTGGGATTCATTCTTGGAAAATTCTTTGAAAGCTGTCACTTTATTGTTCTACATTGGTTCAAGATGTTTAACTACTTATCCAAGAACTACTTTACCACCAACTATGTTACAAGATTCTTTAGAACATGGTGAAGGTAGACCATCTCCAATGTTATCAGTTAGAGATTTATCCATTGATCAAGTTGAAAATTTCATTAAACAAACTAATGCTCATTTACCTCAAGATAAACATATTGCTATTAGTTTAATTAACGGTGCTAGAAATTTGGTTGTTTCTGGTCCACCTGAATCCCTTTATGGTTTTAACTTAAACTTGAGAAATAAAAAAGCTCCAAATGGTTTAGATCAATCAAGAATTCCATTCAGTGAACGTAAATTGAAATGTACCAACAGATTCTTACCAATCTTTTCCCCATTCCATTCTCATTTATTAACTAGTGCTACTGATTTAATTGTGGAAGATATTGAAAGAGAATCATTTGATTTTGCTGTCAAGGATGTTAAAATTCCAGTTTATGATACTTTTGATGGTGCAAACTTCCAAAACTCCAAGGAAGCTTCCTTAATTGGTAGAATTGTTAGATGTATTACGGAATTACCAGTTCATTGGGAATTAGCTACCAACCAATTTAGTGCTACTCATATTTTAGATTTTGGTCCAGGTGGTGTTTCTGGTTTAGGTGTCTTAACTCATAGAAATAAAGAAGGTACTGGTTCAAGAATTATTGTTGCCGGTGCTATTGATGCTAATCCAGCTGATGATGATTATGGTTTCAAACATGAAATCTTCAATACTACTACTGATAAAACCATTAAATTCAATTCAAATTGGTTAAATGAATTTAAACCAACTTTAGTTAAATCAGGTGATAAGATTTATGTTAATACCAAATTTTCTCAATTATTAGGTAGAGCTCCATTAATGGTTCCAGGTATGACTCCAACTACTGTTAATCCAGAAATTATTGCTGCCTCTTTGAATGCTGGTTATCATATTGAAGTTGCCGGTGGTGGTTATTTTGATCCAAATGGTATGACTAAAGCTATTGACCAAATTGTTAACAACATTAAACCAGGTTATGGATTAGGTATTAATTTGATTTATGTTAATCCAAGAATGTTACAATGGGGTATTCCATTAATCAAAGAATTAAGAGAAAAGGGTTATCCAATTCAATCTTTAACTATTGGTGCTGGTGTTCCTTCTTTAGAAGTTGCTACTGAATATATTGAAGAATTAGGTTTAACTCATTTAGGTCTTAAACCAGGTTCTATTGATGCCATTAGTCAAGTTATCACTATTGCTAAAGCTCATCCAACATTCCCAATTGTTTTACAATGGACTGGTGGTAGAGGTGGTGGTCATCATTCTTTTGAAGATTTCCATCAACCTATTTTACAAATGTATAATAAGATTAGAAGATGTAGCAATATTGTTTTGGTTGCTGGTTCTGGTTTTGGTTCTGATGAAGATACTTATCCTTATTTAACTGGTTCTTGGTCATCTACTAAATTCAATTATCCTCCAATGCCATTTGATGGTGTCTTATTTGGTTCAAGAGTTATGACTGCCAAGGAAGCTCAAACTTCTTTAGCTGCCAAAGAATTGATTGCTCAATGTTCTGGTGTTAGTGATGATAAATGGGAAACTACTTATAAGAAACCAATTGGTGGTATTATTACTGTTAGATCTGAAATGGGTGAACCAATTCATAAGATTGCTACTAGAGGTGTTATGTTATGGAAAGAATTAGATGATACTATTTTCAATTTACCAAAGAATAAATTAATGGAAGCTTTAAATAAGAAGAAGGATTATATTATCAATAAATTAAATAAAGATTTCCAAAAACCATGGTTTGGTAAGAATTCTCAAGGTGAAGTTTGTGATTTACAAGAAATGACTTATTTTGAAGTTGCTAATAGATTAATTGAATTAATGTATGTTAAGAAATCTACTAGATGGGTTGATGTTTCCTTACGTAACTTCTATTGTGATTATTTAAGACGTGTTGAAGAAAGATTCACTACTACTACTGGTGCTGTTTCATTGATTCAATCTTATACTCAATTACAAGTTAATCCACAAGAATTCACCGATAAATTCTTCCAATCATTCCCAGAAGCTACTGAACAATTGATTTCTGAAGAAGATTCTGATTATTTCTTAATGTTAGCTTCTAGACCAACTCAAAAACCAGTTCCATTTGTTCCTGTTATTGATGAAAGATTTGAATTCTTCTTCAAGAAAGATTCCCTTTGGCAATCAGAAGATTTAGAAACTGTTGTTGATGAAGATGTTCAAAGAACTTGTATCTTACATGGTCCAGTTGCTGCTCAATTCACTAACAAGGTTAATGAACCAATTGGAGAAATCTTAGATTCTATTCATGAAGGTCATATTGCTAAATTAATCCAAGATGAATATCAAGGTGATGTTTCCAAGATTCCAGTAGTTGAATATTTCGGTGGTAAGATTCCAAAGAAGGTTACTATTGCTCAAGTTGAAACTAAACAAGAATCTGGTAAATTGATTCATGAAATTGATACTGTTGTTCCTGCTAAACAAGATTGGTTAGATTTATTAGCTGGTGATAATTTGGATTGGTTACATGCTTTCATTTCTACTGATAGAATTGTTCAAGGTTCTAAACATATTGATAATTCTGTTCATGATATCTTAACTCCAACTGTTCATTCTAGAGTTGAAATTGTCGGTACTGGTGCTACCAAGGTCTTAACTGTTTTTGAAACTGTCAAGGGTGATTTGAAACCAGTTGTTGAAATTAAATTGGTTAAGAAGAATACTATTCAATTATCCCTTATTGAACATAGAACTGCTGATGGTAAACCAGTTGCATTACCTTTCTTATACAACTACAACCCAACTGATGGTTTTGCTCCAATCTTGGAAATCATGAATGATAGAAATGATAGAATTAAACAATTTTATTGGAAATTATGGTTTGGTTCTGAAATTCCTTATGATATCAACATTAATGTCAACCAACCAATTGGTGAAGATGAACCAGCTATGGAAATCACTTCTCAAGATATTTCTGAATTCACTCATGCTATTGGTAACAAATGTGATGCTTTCGTTTCTAAACCAGGTAAGAAGACTTTAGCCCCAATGGATTTTGCTATTGTTATTGGATGGAGATCTATCATTAAGGCTATTTTCCCAAAGACTGTTGATGGTGATTTATTGAAATTAGTTCATTTATCTAATGGTTACAAGATGATTCCAGGTGCTGCTCCATTAGAAAAGGGTGATGTTGTTAAATCAATTGCTGAAATTAAGGCTGTTTTGAATCAACCAAGTGGTAAATTAGTTGAAGTTGTTGGTACTATCTATCGTGCCAATGGTGAAGCTGTTATGGAAGTTACTTCTCAATTCTTATATCGTGGTGATTATACTGATTATGAAAACACTTTCCAAAAAGCTGATGAAGCTCCTTATCAAGTTGCTATTAAATCAAAGAAAGATTTAGCTATTTTAACTTCCAAGGAATGGTTCCACTGTAATGAAAATGTTGATTTATTAGATCAAATCTTAACTTTCAGATGTCAATCCACTTATAAATTCAAGGCTGCTAATGTTTATTCATCAATCAAAACTACTGGTCAAGTTTATTTGGAATTACCAACTAAAGAAATTGTTCAAATTGGTGAAATTGATTATGAAGCTGGTAAATCTTATGGTAATCCAGTTATTGATTATTTATCAAGAAATGGTAAGACTATTGAAGAAGCTATTAAATTTGAAAATGTCATTCCAATTTCAAGTGGTGAAGAATTAACTTCAAAGGCTCCAAGTACTAATGAACCATATGCTATTGTTTCTGGTGATTATAATCCAATCCATGTTTCAAGAGTTTTTGCCAAGTATGCTAAATTACCAGGTACTATTACTCATGGTATGTATTCAAGTGCTTCCATTAGATCTTTGGTTGAAGAATGGGCTGCTAATAATGTTGCTCAAAGAGTTCGTGCTTTCAAGTGTAACTTTGTTGGTATGGTTTTACCTAATGACAATTTACAAACTACTTTAGAACATATTGGTATGATTAATGGTAGAAAGATTATTAAGGTTGAAACCAAAAACATTGAAACTGATTCTGTTGTATTAGTTGGTGAAGCTGAAATTGAACAACCTATTACTACTTATGTTTTCACTGGTCAAGGTTCTCAAGAACAAGGTATGGGTATGGACTTGTACAATTCAAGTGAAGTTGCTAGAGAAGTTTGGGATAAAGCTGATAAACATTTCATTAACAATTATGGTTTCTCAATTTTGGATATTGTTCAAAATAATCCAAATGAATTAACTATTCATTTCGGTGGTGCTAAAGGTCGTAAGATTAGAGACAATTATATTGGTATGATGTTTGAAACTATTGGTCCTGATGGTGAATTAAAATCTGAAAAGATTTTCAAGGATATTGATGAAACTACTAATTCTTTCACTTTTGTTTCTCCAACTGGTTTATTATCTGCTACTCAATTCACTCAACCTGCTTTAACTTTGATGGAAAAGGCTGCTTATGAAGATATTAAATCCAAGGGATTGATTCCAAGTGATATTATGTTTGCTGGTCATTCTTTAGGTGAATATTCCGCTTTATCTTCTTTAGCTAATGTTATGCCAATTGAATCTTTAGTTGATGTTGTCTTCTATCGTGGTATGACTATGCAAGTTGCTGTTCCAAGAGATGAATTGGGTAGATCTAACTATGGTATGTGTGCTGTTAATCCAAGTAGAGTTTCCCCAACTTTCAATGATGCTGCTTTAAGATTTGTTGTTGAAGAAGTTTCTAAGGTTACTGGTTGGTTATTAGAAATTGTTAATTATAATGTTGAAAATCAACAATATGTTACTGCTGGTGATTTACGTGCTTTAGATTCTTTAACCAATGTTTTGAATGTCCTTAAGATTAACAAGATTGATATTGTTAAATTACAAACTCAATTATCACTTGACCAAGTTAAAGCTCACTTGAAAGAAATCATTGATGAAGTTAAATTGAAATCATTAGCTAAACCACAACCAATTGATCTTGAACGTGGATTTGCTGTTATTCCATTAAAGGGTATTTCTGTTCCATTCCATTCTTCATACTTAATGTCTGGTGTTAAACCATTCCAAAGATTCTTATGTAAGAAGATTCCAAAATCTAGTGTTAAACCAAAGGATTTAATTGGTAAATATATTCCAAACTTGACTGCTAAACCATTTGAATTAACTAAAGAATATTTCCAAGATGTTTATGAATTGACTGGTTCTGACAAGATTAAAGCTATTTTGGATAATTGGGATTCTTATGTGAATGCTTAAGAAAGTTATTAACCTTTTATGTTGTTGCTGATGGTTTTATAATTTGGTTTTTGTTTTAGGTACGTGGTACTATCTGAAAGAAAGATGAACATAAACTGTTGGTGATTACTTTGGTTGATATTCTTATTTGTTTCATATTTAAAGTGTTTTGTTGTTTATTATATACTTTTTTATTTTATTATTATTATTATTTAGTTATAGGTTTTTTAATTTAATTTGTACATTTGTTTTAGAGATTAACTTACTTTGTAAATCACCTTGTAGATTATCATATCGCTTGTTCTTATAGGAAATGACGAAATGCAATTTTAAACTAAATACAACTTCTATATAACAAACTATATACTACTGCTTATTCTCTACAATCCAGTTGTCAAAGGACTTGAAATATTAACCGGAGTAAACTTCTTTGGCAAACTAACTCTCGAAAACCTACTCTTCAATCTCTGAGTCACCAAATCCATATCCAAATGTCTAGTCAAACTCAACCTCGGAATACATCCAATATAATGATCATCATCCAATTGAACATCCAATGGATCCTGAGTATGACAACCCGGAGACAACGACAACCTAATCGAATGCTTCTTCGTCCCGCCACTTGTCTCATTGGCTTCTTCATAAAGTTCAAACACGATTTGGGAAAGATAATCTAATTCAGGCAAGGCATTTCTAGCAATCTTCATGGGGAGATTGGCACCATAGATAACATTTAATAATGTATAAATATGTGATTCTTTGGTAAAATAATTCACCACGGCGGCAGTATCATGATTTTTCATATCTTGAATATCGGATAAGATCTGTTTTGCCAATGGTAAGGAGGTCAAAAGCCCAATATCCAATTTTTCTTCTGATTTGATTCCGTATTCTTGTGGACAAATGAAGTCGAAAAGAACTTTCGAAAGACGGTACAATTCTCGAAGACGGGCGTATGTGGGGTGATCGAATGGGTTTTGTGGGGGTTTGTTGGATGGAGACCCGCTTTTGGTGATAGTTGAGGTGGTGGATTCACGCAAGACCCAACCTAATGAACCGGCTGAGGCGTTGTTGCTATTAGCAATATCTCTGAGACTGGATGGAGAAAGACTATTGGTAGAGGTGGTGGTGTTGGTTGCTGTTGATCCAGATGTTGGAGCAGGTGATGTTGTCAGTTCCAGGGAGATCTTAAAATTATTCATGGCTAATATATTAATAGGATATTCACTCACCAAACCTGATGAATTCACAGTATCTCCACAAACTTCTCTCAATCTCTTCAATAAAACTTCATCATTTGGATCAAAACAGAAAATCTTCCTCAAGAATGGTCGATTATGTAAAGCATCATATTTCATAGTATCATACAATTCCGAAATCTTGGAAGGATGAGTCTTTTCAACACTAATAAATTCTTGAAATAATTTATCCCATCTTTCTTTAAACAAAAATGGATTCTCACCACAACACCAATTCTTCTGGAATGTGGCCACATCTTTAGTTTCAAAATTATAATTCATAATCTGATGATGAAAATTCATTAATTCACATACTCGTTTAATAACTTCAAATGGTTGTGGCATCTTGGGTGGCCATGTGAATTGTGGTGGAGCTTCTGCTCCCTGTCTCAACAAAGGTTTTAATTTCTTCTTAACCTTATCCATCAAATCTTTGGCAGCATTCGAATCATCTAATAAATCTTTTCGTACAATTAAGAAATCATCAGGTAATTCTTCATCTTTATCCAATCCCAATAATGCCTTAGTTGAATATTGTGCACTCGTGATGACACGACGTTCAGACGAGGTATAGACTTTTATATCCATTAATGCTTCTCGGTTTAAGAGTTTGATATTTTGTCTTAATTGTTCACCAACATCTGAAGCTTGATGGGTGGCGGAATGAGTAGGTTCTCCACCCCATTTAAGAATTAATTGGACTTTATCCACAATTTCTGGATCGTTGGGGTTTAAACTTGGTTTTATTTGGATTTTTGTTCCTGGGAAGTTCATTTTCCGTTCCAAGGCGATTCTTAATTGATTTAATTTCTTAAGATCTTCTAATTGTTTCTCTTGCGCGATTTTGACAGTTTCTAAAACAACTTGTAAATCAGGCACGGCTCTAATTATGACTTCTTCACGATGTCCTTTTAATAATGATATAAACAAAGGATTTCTAAATGAATATTTAAATTTCTGCTTTGGAGTACGATCAGCATGACGAATAACACTAACCATACCTTTAAATACCCATTTTTGTTGTTTTTCTTCAAATTGAGATTTATGTAAATGTTTAGTCGATGGTGGAATTGTAGTTTTGATTAAATCACGACATTTCTTAGCTTGAATAAATAATTCCCGTAATATCCGGCTACAAGAATCATAATATTGATTATTGTCTTTCACGAATGAAAATCCATTGACATCAATCACATAAGATTTTCCATTAACTCTTAATAAATCAAATCCACAAATTGTTTGTTTGAAAGTTGAACTTATATTCTTGGCCATAAGCTTCTCTTCAGGGGATAATTCAGTTATATATCTAATTTCCTTACCGTGAGTATTTCTTCTTACAATCCCATCAACCACCGGTGATTTCCTAGTTTCAGCATGACAAAAATCAGGTCCAACAGTATATGCTTTAACATCTTCGAAATTATCGGTATCCATAAATTTCTCATATATAAAAGATCCGTCAATTCTTGGTGTGGATAAATTTGGATCAAATTCACTTGATTTATTTCCAATCTTTCTAAATAACCGTCTTCCACCACCACCATTGGCTTTAGGGTAATATATATAAACATTATGATCTTCACCATCAACCGGTTTTTCCACAAATGGCTTAGTCATGACCTTATCCCCAACTCTAAGAGTATCTTCATCAATCATTTCCCAATCTGGTTCTATTTGATTAGTTAATTGATTTATAGTTTCTTGGGACATTCCAACACTTTGTAAATTCTCCACTAAAAATTTATCTAAATGAGGACCACCATCTCTACTAATTTCTAATCGATCCGGCGTGGGGACATTTGCATGATTTAAAAGGGCCAATACAACTCTTCTATCCCATAAAGCTTTTTGAAATACCAAATCATTAATAATATAAGGTTTTCGATATTGAACATATGAGATCGCTTTATCCAATGGGAACCCAGTTGAGAAGAAACTAATTAAAAAATCACAAGTTGGCCAATTTTCAATAGATTCATCAAGGATTACTTTATCACCAAATATAATCGTTTCAAATTCTCCATTTTCAATTAATCGATTTAAGATTTGTCTGCAAGGTTTTGATAAAACTTTTGCATCCATTGCACATACCCCAATTTTACCAATTTTTGGTAATTTAGGTAATTCAAAATCTTTGGCATTAATTGAGAATGATTTCCTAGTAGATGAAGAAATTGAAGTATTTGAAATTGTTTTTGTAATTCTATTGCTGGGAATAGTAATACCACCCATACCTTGTTCTGAAAATGAATTTGAATGAGACTTGTTGGATGATGAAGCTTGTTGTTGGAATGTGAGGTTTTCCATAGTTAATTCAGCGATTGAATCATCACTTTTATTGTGACCACTGCCAGGGGGGGCAGCACTGTGCGTAGGCTGCTCCGTATAATGACCTGGAGAAGATGAGGTTGAACCTAATCTTGAAGCAGAATCTTCAGCAGAAGTTTTTGGAGTAAATGATTCTAACATTGGAGCAATAGATGCAATAGCTTTTTCAGTAGCTGGAGATGATAATTTTGATTTAGTACGAAGTTTTTGAAGGGTAGCTGTTGCATTATTAGCATTCCCAGCAGCAGCGGCAGCAGCAATAGCAGCACTTGTATCTGATAAAGATAATGATAATGGAGATACTGGTAAGTTTATTTGACTTTGTACTGAACTCGCTGGTTTTGATAGTGACAGACTTGCAGAAGAAGAAGTTTCTGCAATAGCTGATTCTTCTACTAATAAATCAGATGATGATGAAGATGCTAATTGATTGGTTGTAGATGTATTTCTTGTAGGATGTTGATGCTGATCATTAGGTGATGGTATTGGCACAGGTGATGCCTTCTTGCACTCTTGTTGTTGACCAGACATTATGGTTTCTTTGAATGTGTATTTGTAAAAGAATAAGAAGAAGAGTAAGAAGAGAAAGAGATGAAGAGATTTATGAAAAATTGAATGATTGAAATGGCTGATGTCATATTAGAATATTATTCTATTTTTAGTGTAAAGTACACGACTCTTTATTGTAATAAGAAAAATTTCAGATTTGATGATCATCACCCATTGTTTCTATTGTAATTGATTGATTGGTAACGGTTACAATCACATATCCACGTGGACAAGAGATATCGTTTAGTGTGATGTAATAGCCACAGTGTATGTATTATTACATTACAACCCCAGTGAGTAACTAATTAGTTAAATATATTATTAATACAGAGATGTATAATGTATTGTTAAAGTTCTTTTAAATAATTGGTTGATTTTCTACCCCAAATATTAAAGAACTGGGTACCATCTTTAATGCAACGTTACATTTTTCTATTAAAACTATACAGAAGAGAAGCACAGAATCAATTACTATCTTTTATTCTTAATCAATTATTATATAGATTATTTCTTTACATCTTTGTCTAAAAAAGAATAATCTACTTAACCATCTAATATTTACATTGAGAATATATGCAGTATAGTACAGTGCAGTACTATCAAATGTATTACCCCATGGGGTTAATACAGTATACAAGATAAGATATCATTTGTCATTAATTATCTCTAATTAAGTACATATAGATAATTACTTCTATCTTAAACAATCTAGCCATGAGTTAAAGAATGTTCTTCGAATTTCTATATTCAAATGATTAGATATTATATCAATCAAATATAGAAACATAACACTTACGTGTACTACAAGAAGTAAATTTAATATACCAACGCTCCGTTAGTCCAGTATTCTCTATATTCTTATACCCTTTACAGGGTTAAGGAGAATATGTCCTGCAGTCCCAGTGACTGCATCGTTGGGGTAGAAGTAACTCTCTACAATAAACAAGTCAATAAATAAACAATAGCATATGTGTAAAACAATTTATACAAAACATATAATTAAAACCATATTAAGCAAAGTAAGTCCCAGCTATTCAATTGCAGCTAAAGAATCAAACAAGACAGAAATTGATTCACCAAAATGATCTCTTCTAATACATTCAGCAAATATTGGAGAAACATCAATCACACATAATTTATCACAATATTTCTTAATTCTTTCATTACCAATTGGATAAGTATTAGTAACCACGATTTTATCAATACATTCAGATTCAGTTAAAGATTCTAAACATAAATCATTAAAAACACCATGAGTTGCAACAACATAAACTGCTTTTGCACCACAATTTAATCTTAAATGTTCAGCAGCAGCAATGAAAGAATTTGGTTTATCAATCATATCATCTAATATAATTGCTACTTTATCTTTAACATCTCCAACTAAAGTAATTAATTTTTCTTCTTGTAATGAAGATTGCTCATACTCTTCATCATCACTTCCTGCCGCATCATAACTACCTCCTAATACATCACTTGATATATCACCCGAGACTGATTCAAAATTATTGCTAGCATTACCATTAAGATCAACGGATTTCATTGCAGATGTAGTACTACGCATACTACTACTACCATTTAAATTAGGATAATCATCACCAACAACATGTCCTTGAACAATTCTACCAGTTTGAAGTTCACTAACAATATTATCTTCTTCTTCTTCATCATCGTCATCTTCAGTCACTGTCTTTTTCGAGTTCTTAATTGCCTTCTTTTTAGAATACATAACATCTTGAGTTCTTCTTCTATCAGTATGAATCATGGCAAAATTAATCTTTAAAGAATCAGCCAAAGCAGTCACACGTTTAGTCCCACCCGGGTTCTTAGAAACAACAACTGCAGAATCCCAATCAGGAATATTATGACGAATCCATCTTGCCAAAGTAGGTGCACCAAATAAATTATCAACTGGTTTAGTGAAAAACCCTTGCATTTGACTAGCATGTAAATCCATACTTACAACATGATCAGCACCTGCCATAATCAACAAATTAGCCAACATTCTTGCCGTAATTGCTCCACGATGTTTTTTCATCTTGGATTGTTTACTATATGGAAATTGTGGAATAACCGCCGTAATCTTATTTGCAGAACCTCCACGACATGCCGATATCAAAATTAATAATTCCATAATATGATCATTGATGTGGGGAGAACCTGATTGGATAATATATACATCTTCATCTCTAACTGATACTCCAATTTGTACTGATGTTTCACCATTGGAGAATTTCTTAAGTGAACATGGAGCCGGTTCTACACCTAATCTATCACATACTAATTTACCTAATTCAGGATGGGATGAACCAACAAAGATCTTACACTTACGCATGGTTTGTGATGAGCAATAGCTGTTATTAGTTGATGAGGGTTGTGGAATTGGAATAAGGTTAGTCAACGTGGATTGATCTGTTTTTTCTTGTTATTTTTTACTTCAAAGCAATAGGGATATTGGGAGAAGTAAAAATATAAGCTAACTGTAAGTAGTATTCTATTAATAGATTCAATTCTATTTATTGTCGTTTATATATTTTACATCTGAAAGAGAAGAAGAAGAAAGAAGAAGAAGTAAAAGAAGAAGAAAGTAAAAGAAGAAATGAAATAAAATTTTCAAATACGAAAAAGATGAATTTCGATTTACATTGTTAACAAATATAACGCCAGTTAAAAAAAAACTTTTGTACTGGTCTTCCTAATTAAGAATTTTGTCTGCGATGAGCATTTTTTTATATGCAGTCATTAACTAACCAATCAATTATTACTTAATTATCATATACAACTATACAACCTATACAATGACATCTAAAGATACTAATGAAGACCAACTAACAAAACACATATCCAAAATATCCCAATTCCAAACCACAATCCTAAATTCAAAACTCTTCACCGAAATATCAACCACCCTATCATCCACCCTCCCACCAAAATCAATCACCTCAATCAGATGTCTAGCATTAGGTTCCCCCACCGACTCAACCCCAGCAAAATATCAACTATCCCTCTTGCTCCAACTCATCCCCCTCCTCAATACCCCCGAGCTCATCACAACTATCTCCTTCTATGACCCAATATTCACCGAATTAGATATCCAACTCATAAAAACCCTCCTCCCAACCGCAATTATTCAACAGGAATACACACCGCCTATCCCAAACACAACTCTCTATTTCCTTCCTCATGCTCCATTAGACTTAATGGAAGAGATTCTCAAAGTTGATAAACCGGCGTATTTATTATGTAATGATTTGATATCACATACTGATAGATTAACAAAACGGAAATTATCGGAACAGTATCCTACCATTGCAGTATGTGTTGAATATCTAACTAAGTCCGAGCAAACCACAACAGCCGAGGGTGGTGATGGATTCATACCGGTGACGAAGAAACGAAGAAATAAGAAAAAGGGTGTGTTTGTTGAGCCCGAGATTGTGTATGATTTCGATGGGGTATATTTTAAGGGAGTGGAGAGGGAAAGGTTTGATCATGGATCTGATAAAGGTGATCCGTGGGGGAATTCATTTTCGGATTTGGCATATCATTATATTATCCCCAAGGATGATGATGCTGAGAAAGTAATATAGAATGGTTTATATAGACAGACTAATAGATACAGGCTGATAACTCCGTAAGTACTTGATATAATGACTCTTCTGTAATTGTAAAACCATCCAACTAGAAAGCATGCTCGTGCCTGCATATATATCTACGGATCAGCTCACCTCTTATGGTAGCCAGGGTGAACAATAAGGCCGTTGCTTTCAAACACATTAAACTGCTTGCAAAAAAACTCAATCATATACGGGGCTACCAGATGTCATCAATGGTTAGCCACGTTGGTCGTTAACATTGGTCGTTCCAATCCCATGCACGGGTTATAACCAGAAATGGTATCATTGGGCCAGATATACCCGAAATAGACGCTTTCAGCATCTATGGCAGTTACTTCTCTTATCTAAGCAACAACCACAACCCACTTCACATCCATCTTCAACCACTACTCTCCAATAATAATGTCAACAATAAATCAATAAGTTATAAAATTAATACAATATGGGACATATTTAAAAAAGTAATAGAATAATAATAATATATAGAAAGTAATTATAACAATAACATCAGTGGTTATATAAGTCTTGGTTTCTTCAATATTGGATCCTCTCTCGATAACAAATCCTCCTCTAATCCACCCTCTCCTGGATTATTCTCAATCTTAACCTGTCCCCCATCAGTCACACCACCCGTCGGACTTCCACTCTCACCAGCAGTTGCTGGCGCAGCAGCCTCTTTCAACAAATGTTTCAGCAAAATACTATACAAATCATCTTTCGTAAACGGCTTGGCCAAAATATCACTCATACCATTTCTCAAATAATTAACCAAATCCTGATCCTCAATATTCCCAGTCATGGCAATTATGGGTGTTCGAGTATCAAAACTTCGAATCACACTCGTGGCCGTCGCTCCATCCAAATTAGGCATTACGATATCCATCAATACTAAATCATATTTGGTTTTTTCAACCGTGGAAATGGCATTAAGTCCATCGGTGACCACTGTGACTTGACATCCGTATTTGACTAAGAATTTTCGACAGAGTTGGATACATACATTGTCATCTTCCACTAGGAGGACGTGGAATTTGGGGTTGGGGATATTGGTGGTGGTGGAGACGATTTGAGTTGCGGTGGGGATGGAGGGGGAGACGGAAGTAACGGGGGCACCACCAGCGGCAGTTGCAATAGTTCCCGATCCAGTAGTTCCTAATGTAGCTGCTCCTGGCGGAGCAGTTGGTGCTAATGGAGAATGAACACTCGATGAATGGGATTCACTATTCGGTGGACTTGTTCTATGAACTATTGGTCCATTCGGCGGTGGTGGTGGTTGTAAATATCCTTGAGGTGGTGGCGGAGCCTGTTGTGGTGGGGGTGGGGGTTGTTGGGTATTTATTGGCATTGGGATTGGTTGGATATGTTGTGGTGGTGGTCCTGGACCTTGAGTCACCACTGATGGTCTATTAAGTGGTAAATTCATAGGTATTCCCAATGGATGTTGAAGTTGTTGTTGTTGTTGCTGTAATGTTTGTGCGGTTAATGGTGCAGGTATAGGAGTTGAAAGTTGTGGACCTGTCATTATTGGATTAGTTAATGGAGATTGTTGTTGGGGTGGTGGTGGTGCTTGGGGTTGTCTAAGTTGATTTATACTAGGTAGGGATCCATTAGTTTCTTCACCTGGTGGAAGTACTGCAAGTTGTGGTATTTGGGAAGGTGATGATTGTTGATTCATTGGAAAATCTAATGGAGGCACTTTAATACCAGCAGCAATTAAACAATTCAACAATATATTCATTGATCGATAACATCTTTCATCATTACTATTAATAGTTACAATATTTTCAACTAATGTTTTATATTTTCTTTCTAAAACGTGAATTTCTTGATTTAATGATTTATTTTCCTTTTTCAACAGAGAAACAACATCTTTTAATTGATTATAATTTTGATTTAATTGAGTATAATTATGATTACATTTAATAATTACTTCAGAGCCGTTGGCTGTACCACCACTTGTAGATAAATTTGGAGTTGTTTTCTTTACCGATGGTCCTTTTCTTTTTATATTTTCTAAAGCATTTCTATCATTAATTTTAAAATCAGGATGTTTAAATTCCCAAGTATCATCACCATAAGGATATTTTGATTTTTCTTCATTTGTAATTTTAACTTTATGAAAATCATATTTATTTAATTGTCGAACAAAACTAGCAAAATTTGAATGTTTAAAATGTCTTGGTAATATTTCTTTAGTAAATTCATTTGTATTAATTACAACAAAACTATCACCTAAATCTGTCCATCTTACAATCGATTTATAACTATCTTCTTGTAACATCAAGAATAATTTCTTAACAAAATCATTTGAACCACTTTGATTAGAACTAGCTGTAGTCGCTATAGTTGTAGTGGTACCAGTAGTAGCTGTAGTTGTTGTTGTATTGTCTGTTGTTGTCATTGTCTTTGTTGTTGTTGGTTGCTGATCAGTAGTAGTAGTAGTAGGTTGTTGTAGTTGTAGCTGGGTATTATTGTTATTATGTATTATATCTTTACTTTTCATTTGATGAAGGTGGGTGGTGGGATGTATGTGTATGTGTTGTTATATTGTGTAGTACTAACTACTTATAAGTCTATAATTATGATGGATGGATAGTTGGGTAAGTTGTTTCGTATAAATTTATAAAAATGTGTATTTAAATTTAATTTAATTTAATTATTTATTTTTTTCTCTCTCTCTTATTCTCTCTCAGTCTATATAAAGAGATACTTACAAAGTGTTTTATAGATAAATCTTAAAGTATTACTAGGAAGTATATACAAAAGAAGGTAGAAGAAGTAAGAGATGTTCTAATAGTCTCTTAAAGTATTCCTTAATAATAGTATTAGTTGATAAACAGATGTAACCCTTCCCACTCCCTATTTATTATATTATACCTTACTACTATCAGTGCACATATCCACCGTAAAGATACATAAAAGCCACCCCTACTAAATATAACTATGATGTCACAATCACAGAATGCCTCACAATCACAATCAGTGGACAGCAAATCCAAACTCCATACAATCCCAGATTTCTATTCAGTTTATCTCATCCAATCAATACCTAAACCACGTAGTTTCTATATTGGATCTACACCGGATCCATTACGTCGTCTTAAACAACACAATGGAGAATTAAAAGCAGGTGGAGCATATCGTACTAAACGTCCTGGTTGTAGACCTTGGAAGTTGGTTGTTTTGGTGTATGGATTCCCATCAAAGATTTCTGCTTTACAATTTGAACATAGTTTACAACATCCTCATCAAACTAGACATATTGATAGTCAGAATAGAGTAACTACTAGCAGAAGTAGTGGCAGTAGTATTCATCAGAAATTGGCTAATATTAAATTATTACTTCAATCTACTGGATTTAATAAAATGAATTTGTCGGTTAATATATTTGATGAAAAAGTTGGAGAAGTTTGGTTATTGAATAAATTTAAGATTACAGATAATGTTAACCCTTCATTTATGACATTCGATGAATTCTTTACGGATGAGACGCTTCAATTATCAAAAGTTAGTTTAGATTTAATTCATCAACAAGATTTTCAGATGGCTAAATCTTTCATACTTAATAATACTCCGATTTGTAATCTATGCAATCAACCTATTAACTATTTCCTCGAGGATACCTCCAATGGAAGCCAAATCCTCTTAACAGGCTTCTGTTATCACTCACCAGATTGTTCGGCATTTCATTTAACTTGTATAGCCAAGACAACTCCATCCCTAATACCCGACTCAGTACAATGTCCTAACTGCAATAATCAACTCACCTGGTCAAGAATAATAAAAACATCTACAAAAATACGACAATATATATCAAAAGATACTTTATCTAAACAATCAGAATAACAGTCTATTTAATCTATAATTCATCTCTTTTCATATCATCTTTATAATTAATAGAAATCTTCCAATTGGAATTAATCTTAACTTTTGGATTTTTGATAGTTGCAATTCCATCTTTTGTTTCAACTCTTCCACTCCAAGTCTCTCCTCCTTGTTCAATCTCAATTGATTTGATCTTATCATCTAATCCTACAATTTGAATATTTTCAACATGAATAGAATCAATTGATTTGATATATTGATCTGAACCAGATTTAACATTGGTAGATATCGAATTCTTATCGGCTGAAAACTTAACATCGACATATTCACCTTGAACATTCTTATAACTCTCTCCATCATCAATATATAACTCTCCACTGGCTTTCCCTTGTTTATTCAATGCAATAATAACCGTATATGGATCATACTTCATCAATTTCGAAGAACGACGATATCTTTCCTTCACACTAAGAATAGACCCACCTTTCAAATACATCGGAATATCATTCAACTCAACCTTCTTCTTCACATATCCAACCCCATTATCCACCTTTCTCTTGGTTATCTTCCCATTCATGAAATCATAATAAACTTCCTCATCAGGAATATAAACCTCCACCTCATCCACACCCTCATCAGTCACCGGCTTTACCAATATCCCCGAATCCCCGACGAAAAACTCATCATCAATCCCATACGCCTCCAAATTCCCCGGCGCTTCATAGAAAAGCGGCCTCATAACCGGTCTACCACCCTCATTCCCCCTCTTGAAACTAGTATAAAAAACCGATAACAATTTATATCTCAATCTAACCGCCTCCCTAATATAACTAACATATGGCTCCCCGCTCACCCATGGTTCACGTCTCCTACTATCAATATTCGCATGAGCTCTGAAGAAAGGATAGAAAATCCCAGTCTGATACCAACGAGTTAATAATTCCTTACTCGGATTTCCAAAAAATCCACCGACATCCGCCCCACTGAAAGGCATCCCCACAATATTATGCGTCAACACCATCGGGATGGAAATCTTGAGATATTCCCATTTCGACATATTATCACCCGTCCACATGGCTGCTGACCGTTGAGAACCGGCGAAATAGGATCTTGTTAATACGAATGGTCGTTGTCGGGATGGTCTGTCTTCCAATCGGGCTTGCATGGCATGATAGGTGGCTTGATGATATGTGAGACCATACAAATTATGAAGTGAACGATGTTCCCAACCTCCATAATGGAGATTATCTTTCGGCGAAGTCGTTTCGGGCCCATCGAAAACCAGGGGTTCATTCATGTCATTCCAAATATGGATGTTTTCTTGATGGGGGCCTAAGAATGGTTGATCCCAGCCGAAACGGGATTTCCAATATGATTGAGCTTCGGGGTTGAATGTGTCTATCCAGATGGATTCTCCGGGCCAACAATGTCCATGATAGGGGTTGTTGGTGGAGTCGAGTATGGCGAGGTTTTGGGAGATGAGGTCTCGACTGACTTCGTAGTCGACTTTGAGATGGGGGTCGATGATGACTACGAGATTACGCCCCGTAGTGTCGAGTTTGGAAAGCATTCGCTTGGGATTGGGGAAATTTTCTTTATTCCAGGTGAAATATTTCTTTTGGTCGGTATATTCTATATCTAACCAAATTGTATCATATGGAATCTTATATTTATCGAATTTTGCATGAATATCCAACACATCTTTTTCATCATTATAATTCCAACGACATTGATGATATCCAAGGGAAAATAATGCTGGGAGTTGGGTATATCCTGTGATTTTCCCATATTGACGATTAACTTCATCTACATTATCTTCAATAATAATAATGAAATCCAATAATCCATTCTCCGACATAAAATGAGCAGCACCTCCATCTTTATTCTCCAAATTAATATCAACATATGAATCAGCAGCATTTATCCAAAACACCCCTACAGCAGCATCTGGTTTTGCAGCAATCAACAATGGAATTGATCCATACATTGGCAATCTTGAATCTTGTTCATATTCAAAAATATCAACATTAAATAATCTATATGGTTCACGATGGGTCGTATCCTTCAACAACATCGAACCAGAATGTTCAGGAATCCCATATAGATGACTAAACCCGCTAAATGTAAAATCAATCGCAATTGATTCCGGCCCCAACGGGATTGTATCCTTACTTGAATCCGGGAATGAATCTTGAAACATATCAAATGAAATCTCTTGTGGGGATAAATGTAAATCATTCTCCGATTTCAATCTACGATGTTCGAAATTCAAGAATTGTTTATCATTAATCACAAGTTGTTCCTTCCCTTGATGGATGAATTGGAATTTAATTGGATTCAATGAAATTATAACATCATAATCTTTACGATATGATAAATGAATCTTATCGGCAGATAATTTTTCATATCTTATAGATCTATCCAATTGAACTCCCGGTTGGAATGCCCAATCTGAAGTCTCATTATATCTCAATTGATTCAAATATGAAGGATATTCCCGCAAGATTTGTCTATTTTCATCTAATCGAAATCGGAAATTTCCTTCTACTAAAGTAATATCAAATAATAATTGAACGGTTGAATTATCGACTTGTGGGAGGTGTTTGTTGATGACTCCAAATATAACACCATCATGTAAGATAATACTATCGGGATCAATAGAATATGGTGATTTATAATTGGTGGTGGTACTTACTTGTTGAGCAAAATGACGATTTCTGGTACAGAATCCTGATTGAGGACATGTTTTGAATAAATATTCTTTAACTGCTAATACTGATGATGTAATGAGAAGCAATTGAATGAATAGATTGCCTCTCATTGTGTCTATATCAATTGGTCAGCAAGTCAGTAGATATAGTAGTAGTAGTTGTCGAAGAAGAAGTCAATTGAAAAATAATTGAAAAGTGAGATTTTGTTAGTGGTGGTGCACATAAAGAATTATTAAGGGGGGTTGGATATAGACAATGGCAATTCCATTTACCTTTATATTGTCAAACGCAAAACAAACAAGAAGAACCGAAGAGGAGTATGCGATTAAAGGATGTACAAATATCTCTACGTAAACAATTAGTTCTTGGGATATTGATAGATTTTAGATTCAATGGATCCATTTGACAGTTTTCTTGCTGTGCCAGAACTACAGAAATTAGCAATGATTCAAATGAAGTGAGCATTGTTGAGATCTGTATTACCAGGACAACAACATCTCGATATGGAAATTCCACAAGGGTTCGCTTCTTTGATTTTAGTAGTGTCGATCAACAAGCCAAGGCTGAGTTGGCTAATAAGATCGACACTCCTTGACTCCTGTTCTGATGTTTCCTTATAAACGACTCCCCCGCTTATATAAAGAATAATCTGAGCATGAATGAAGGAGGAAGGGGGATGATTCATAAATCTTGTTGATTAATGTATCGTGTGAAACGTAATGGTAAGTAAACTACAACTACTAAAAAGCAATATATTATTACCTCTTTAGCAGCTTGTAGTTTGTCGGCCATTCCTAGTGGAAGTCACTAATGATTGGTCATTTGAAATCGTAATTACAATGGCTCACCACAGTATGTTACTAGTGACTCATCTATTTGGATTCCGGTTTTTTTAAGCCAAATGATGGTATGCCCAAATCGTCACTTATAACGTTCATACACTCCCTGCAAAAGAATTCCTTATTAGTATAAAATGGTTGTCTAATGCCTTGTTGTTGATTGCCTTGCTGGTGTTGATGATCCTCTTGATAATGATAATTATGATGTTCATCGAAATCGTCATCCAGAAATGGTGAACAGCATTGTTCAAATCTATGATCTCTGTTGTTCTTTCTCTGACTACTGATCTTCTCTAATTGCAGCCGTTTGCGTTTAGCTTCTTCCAATGGAATGGGTTTCAACCTTTCAAGATCTTCTAAAGCGCGATACTCATCAGCCTCTTTTGAATAAAGATGAGCATACTCTGGATGTAAACCACTAAAGAGATGTTCAGTTGCTGATTCTTCTGAAATTGCACGACCACACTGTTTGATTAGTTCATGAAAACGTTCCTTGTAAAGTTACAAGGATTGATTTTATAGAACGATTTAATCATGATCGAAAATCTTTACCATTAGACAAAATCAATCCTTATTCCTTTACAAAGAACGTTTCTTGAATTGTACAAATTAGCAATTGAACATTTCTTTAATGGTTTACATCCGGAATATGCAATTTTCTTGACAAGCTTCGTAGCCTCATGATCAGTATTAAAACGTTCTTCAAAAGCAACAGAAAGGGCCCCAATAATATATGAAGGTCTAACAACATGTCTAGCCTTATAATATTCCAGCAATGTTAATGCCTTGCCGTTTCTTAAGTTGCGCACAATTTGATTTCCTTCTTCACCAAATTCATTATTCTCAATTCGCAAATATTGTAAATCCTCACCAACAAATTGAGGATGAATTATTATTTTTGGAGACATCATTTATTCAATCGATTGCGAACTTCTGGCTTAGGTGTCGTAATTACGATACCCACGGTCTAGTTGTTATTAAAGAAGCCCCTGTGGAAATGGTGGAAAGCGTGTTCATCTATACACTTTCCCTTCCGCCAACGGTTAAAGAAGACTTTGGGTATTGCTCTATCGAAAGCGTTGGATGTATCTAATCCGAAGATGATAAATGCCATAAGGACTGTTCCCAAATGATGGCGTATATCAACTGCGTCACTTAATGGAAGATGATCAAGACCTTGATGATATGACTTTTTAGACGTAGTATTCACCCTATATCAAAATGCGTATTGGTCAACAAAATGATTTGGACTCTCCTGAATCTAGAATCACGTGAATATTTACTCATAGCCTGATGGAACCTAGTTTCTAATGCTGATAATCTTGTGGGAAGCATTGTGTCCCTTTCTCTTGTTTAACTCTCCTTGGTTATAATTCACCATAAAATGAAAAAAAATTTCAGGAGGGTTTTGGGGTTTTCGCTTTAATTTTCAAATTATAATTACTATCACGTGACAAACATCATTCCCAATATGGCAAGTGCGGCGTTGTAGTATTCAGTATTCCAATTCAATTAGTTATAATAAACCCTTCATCAACTTTAGGATCCACAATTAGGTTCATTATTTCATGTTTTCGTACCCTCTGGAGACGTTTTTTGGGGATTCTAATCTTAGACCCATAACTCACACTCATATCCAAATGTAAATAAACTTGTTTCCACATCATACTTTCCAATCAAGTTAAACAAATCATCGCTTCTAAAACAGATAATATCCATCAACAATTTAATGAGTGATAAGGATGAAACTCATTTATATGGCTTTGAATAAATAGTAAGATTTGGGGCTATGTCAATTGTCGTGTATTCCAAACCGGGCTTGTAGGAGATAAACTTAGAATTCCCAAAATTGCTAAGAGGATTGTTCTCTTTTCAATTGATTGTTTGTAGTTTCCTCTACTTTTTTAAAAAATATTTAATAAATGAAGTTGAAAAGATTTATCATATATTTTGAATAATTGATATTTAATGCCAGATCTAAAAGAAGAAGAACATATAATAATAATAACATTAATTAAATTGAATTTTGAAAATAGAGATAATATTTAACATGACAACTTCTAAAGAATTAGGTAGGATGAATGCGCATTAGAGAAAAGAAGTAGTAGAAGAAGAACAAAGAAAAAAAGAATGTTAATTATAAAGGTCGTGTGCTTTTGTTCAATTTACTTGCAA